TGTGTATGGAATGGGACAAAGAGATTTTGAAGGCTTTGAAGATGAGCCTAAGCTGGTAGAGGATATTGTGTCCCTGGGAAACACCTTGGGCCTAGAGGTGACTGAAGATGATGTGGAGGAGTTGGTGGGGAAGCATAGAACTGAACTCACCACAGAAGAACTTCTAGACCTTTGGAAGGAGCAGCAACAGATTACAGTGGAGGAGCTGTCATCAGAGGAAGGGGAGGGAAAGAATGATGTGCCCATTGCACTTGTCAAGGAAATGTGCTAAATGGCATGAAGTGCAGGGGTTTGTTGAAAAATACCATCCAGGCAAAGCAGTGGCCATCTCTCTAACATGTACAGTGACAGTGTAATGTCTCGGTTTAGTAAGGTGTTAAAACAGACCCTGAAACAAACCTCACTGAACAGGTTTAAAGTGAGACAAAACCAGTTAGCCAGAACAAGGTGTTAGTGATGTAAAAAAGACTAAAAAGAGAAACAACATTAGCTCTCCTCTGACAGGTAAGGGGCAATTAAATTTTCATTTACTGTACAGTATTTCAGTTAAAGTTTCATTTAATATTCATTTTTTACAGTTTCCCTGTGCTGTATAATTTTATACATTGTTTTATGTAGCAGTTAGTACATTATTAATGTATTACAGTGGTCCCTCGTTTTTCGTAATTAATCCGTTCCTGGAGGAGCTACTGTAAACGAAATTTACGATTTGCGAATCAATTTTCCCCATAAGAAATAATGTAAATACAATTAATCCATTCCTGACACTCAGAAGTATTAAAACAAAAAAATTTTTTACATGAAATATGCATGTAGTACATAAACAATACAATGGGAAATGATGAATGAAACATTAACAGCATAACACTTACCTTTATTGGAGATTCTTCTTAGTGTATGGGAGACTGGAGGAGGAGAGAGAGTGGATTGTTTATAGTTTGGAAGGGGAATCCCCTTCCAGCAACACCTCAGGTACCATTAAAATGGTATAAAATACCGACAGGTTGTTAGGTAAGACACATATGCAACAGTTAGGTATCTTTATTTCGAAACGTTTCGCCTACACAGTAGGCTTCTTCAGTCGAGTACAGAAAAGTTGATAGAAGTAGAAGATACTTGAAGACGATGTAATCAGTCCATCACCCTGTACTCGACTGAAGAAGCCTACTGTGTAGGCGAAACGTTTCGAAATAAAGATACCTAACTGTTGCATATGTGTCTTACCTAACAACCTGTCGGTATTTTATACCATTTTAATGTTCAATCTGTCAGACACTGCAACACAAGGGTATCTTGGTACAGACCTACAATCAACTTTGACAACCTCTACTAGTGAGAACGGCTGGATTTGAGAGGGACCTGACCTCCCAGCATCTGAGTTCTTACCTCTTCTAGTGACCTACGTCTCACCTCTTGGCGCTATAAAAGTGCTCCATCCTGTCACTTCATCTCCATATTGTTTCATTCCATGGAACAATGCTCTTCTCCAGACTGAGGGACTGACCACCTCAAAACTTTAAGGGTGATGGACTGATTACATCGTCTTCAAGTATCTTCTACTTCTATCAACTTTTCTGTACTCGACTGAAGAAGCCTACTGTGTAGGCGAAACGTTTCGAAATAAAGATACCTAACTGTTGCATATGTGTCTTACCTAACAACCTCAGGTACCAATTGCTTCTCTGGGGTTGCTTCTCTTCTCTGTTTCTTAATGCCACTAGGACCACCTTGAGAGTCACTCTAGTCCTGTCTTGCAAAGTAACTGTGGAGAGAGCTCTGTTTCTGGTGTCTCTTTAACACTTCCCTAAAATGGCCCAAGACTTTGTCACTGTACACATTTCTCACCTTCTTTACCACAGGCTTGGCACTAGGATCTTTCTTTGGAGCCATGGTAGCTTATTCAGTACTTGCAAGCACTAAAATGAGTGGAATATTATGAAATATTTCGTAGGAGCACTTGAGGGGGACCTTCACTCACTGGTAAACAATGCCAGACTGGCTGGGTAGGGAGGCCTCCCTGGCTCACACCGTGCGTACACGTCCCGGACGAACTACTATTCGCGAGTCAACCTATGAAAAGCGAGTCCATGTTTATATGAAAATACCCCTATGATTGGCGAAATTTACGATTGCCGAGAACTACGAAAAGCGAGGGACCACTGTATTATATAGTCATTTGGGGTCTGGAACAGATTAATTTTATTTACATTATTCTTTGTGAAAAATTTCTTTGGTTGTCATTGATTTTGATTGTCAAATCAACGTGGGGAACAAATTAAATTTGAAAACTGAGGTTCCACTGCATATTGTTGTTATTGGCAAAAATAAGCACCAAACCCATATGGATTATACAGTGTCCAGTGTAGTATGCACAGGATGGCATACTGTGAGGAATTAAATTTCTGGAATCTGAAACCCCCCAAATGAGGTGAGCAGTTTATTATTACTAAACCATACATTTGTGGGCAGATATGGTAGCAATGTGGATGACAAGTGAGAAATATATACTAGCCATCTCTGTCAGCTGTATTTAGTGGTAGATCACAGTCAGGAAAATCCAGTAACAAATCCCATTCAGTTGGAAGATTTGGAGCCATTGATGTACTGTACACATCCTTCCATTCATGACACGTTTATACAGTGTCTGGAAGAATGGAAGGCATTCAGGCTCAACTGGAGGACTTGGAGCACAGGTAAAACTCCTTAGATCGAGATTATTATTATAATCAAGGGGGAAGCGTTAAACCCGTAGGATTATACAGCGCCTGTGGGGAGAATGTGAAAGGTATTCAGGCTTAATTCAGGGAACTGGAGCACAGATCCAATTCCCTAGATCAAGAGCCCCTCACCAGCATTAAGAACCTCCTTTGAAAGGCATGATGTAAACAGCAGTAGCATACGGGTGCAAATGGAAAGGTTTAAACGATTTTTATTGTGGGAAAGCATTTGACTGCTCGACTCATAAGTCATAATGAATGGGGAATGGGAGGAAATCAGTTTTAATCCAAGGAAGATAGGGTACTTTCAATTCTTTATTATACAGGTCTCCCTCAACATTTGCGAGAGTTAGGGGATCAAGAGCCTCGCGAATGTTGAAAAACCGTGAATGTTTGGTGCCCCAATATATTGTAGGGAAATATATTACAATACTGCTTCCTTAACTTGTTGAACCATGAATAATCATAAAATACATGAAAATGTTGTAAATTGTACTAAATATATACATGTTATGCTTTAATAACGTATGTTATTTAATAACATGTATGTTAATAACATGTATGTTATTAAATACCACAGACTCCACCAATGCCTCCACCACTGCGAGTCCCTACTACCCTCCCTCCGACCCCCGCAACTGGCAGCCAGCCCTCCCACCACTCAGTGTGGCGAGTGTTTTGTTTGTTCATTATTTGCTATTAAACTACAGAATAAATAATGTAAACCCATTCATGACTGCATATTGGAATGGCTATTTGGACAGGTATTAGACGGTGACATCATGTGTTCACTCTTGAACACAGCAAAGAATCGAACATTTCTGCTATTGCTAATAATAACAATAGTAATAATAATAATAATATAATAATAATAATAATAATAATAAATAAATACGATATAATTGAAGAAGGAAATTGTACAAAAATACGAGGGAGTGGTTGACACATCGTCAGTGTGACTTTGTTTATGCTGGAGTGAACATTAGTCTCCCTGCTCTTCCAAACATTTCACAATAATTCAGCGGTTGAGGCAGTGGTATTTAATAACATATATGTTATAAATAATAATAGTACATGTTATTATTGATAACATGTATTATTAACATGAATGTATTTAATAACATATATGTTATAAATAATAATAGTACATATTATTAATAACATGTATTATTATTAACATGTATATTATTAAATACCATTGCCTCAATCACTGCCTCTACCACTCCAGTCACACTCAATCTACAAGCACCAAACACAATGAATTATTGTGAAATGTTTGGAAGAACAGGGAGACTAATGTTCACTCCAGCATAAACAAAGTCACACTGATGATGTGTCAACCACTCCCTCATATTTTTGTACAATTTCCTTCTTCAATTATATCATATTTATTATTATTATTATTATTACTATTGTTATTATTAGCTGTAGCAGAAATGTTTAATTCTTTGCAGTGTTCAAGAGTAAACACATGATGCCACCGTCTAATACCTGTCCGAATAGCCATTCCAATATGCAGTCACGAATGGGTTTACATTATTTATACTGTAGTTTAATAGCAAATAATGAACAAACAAAACACTCACCACACTGAGTGGTGGGAGGGCTGGCTGCCAGTTGCGGGGGTCGGAGGGAGGATAGTAGGGACTCGCAGGTGGTGGGAAACTTAAATATGATTTGGCGGCTGGGAATTTGGTGGCTGGGAATTTGGCGGTTGGGAATTCGCGAATGTGTGAAGCCCGTGAAAGTTGAAAACGTGAATATTGAGGGAGACCTGTATTATTATTCGTGGGAGAGAGCTTTGAACTGAGGAAATGGGAGGTAATCAGGTCTGAACTAAGAAATGGGAGGTCACATCAGATTCCTTGGACCAGGTTACCCCCTTCCCCCACCTCCTCACTGGCATCAAGGAACTTTACCTGAGGGGTATAATGCCTGTAATCACAATAACGAAATCCTTAAATTCTTTGCTACACCTGACAACTCTAAAGTAACTTGGCTGATTCATGGCTCTTAGCCTTATTTGATTTCATGTGGGTTAAGTTAAACCCATACTATGAGTTGAGGATTATAAAGCACATTTGATCCAAAGAAAGGGAAAGTAACTCCAATTCCTTGGATCCAGAGCCCTTCACTTGCTTCAAGGAAGTTCCCTTGAAGGGTTCTTGACCTTAAAAGAATTTTTATCAACTGTTCAATGTTTTCTATTTTACATGTCATAAATAAGAATCCATCTTACTTAGGGACATCATCACAACTGCAAGGAATAACAAAAATACAAACTTAAATAAAATTAGTTTTTTGTAAAAATTATTGTAATACAGTATTTCTCATCTCTATAAAATTTAATAATGCAGTACAGGTATTTTATTGTAAATAATTTGTAGATGATGACTGAGTTCGTTGTAACTCCAGCTGAATAGTCTGTGAAAGAAGTTCCAGATGAAAGCCTGTGTTTGGATGACGTGCAGCATGCACAGGAGTGGAGGCACTGCCATCATCCGTTGTAATCTCTGCTGATGGATCACTGGAAGAACCTGACACATTGAGCTCTGATCTCTGGTTATCATTCAGGCCAGCTTTATCTGTTTGAAAAAATATTCATACAGTAATAAAGATTATGAAAAACTTATGTCTTTCTTTTTAGGTCACCCTGCCTCGGTTCGATACGGCTGGTTCGTTAAAAGAAAAGAATAAATGTTATGTTCATGAAGACCTAAACTTGGAAGGATCATACAATGCATGAGGAATGGGAAGGATGGGGTTAATTAGGTTGGATTGAGGTAATAAAGGGTAGCTCTAATTCCTTGAATCAAAAGTACAATGGGAAGTACAATGCCTGCACTTAAAAGGAGGGGTTTGGGATAGTGGCAGTTTGGAGGGGTATGTTATATATCTTTATATATGCTTCTAAACTGTTGTATCTGGGTGCCTCTGCAAAGACAGTGATTACATGTGAGTGAGGTGAAAGTGCTGAAAGTTCTTTTCTTTTTGGGTCACCCTGCCTCAGTGGGAGATGGCCGACTTGTTGAAAAAAAAAAATTATATATATATATATATACAGTGGACCCTCGACCAACGAAGGCATCATCTAACGTTAAATCCGACTAGCGATACATTTTAACGCAAAAATTTTGCCTCAACTAGTGCTAAAAAACTCGACCAACACAATTCGTTCCGTCTGAGACGCGTCCACTTGTGGCCAGTGTTTACAAGCCAGCCAGCCATCGCGGTCCCATCCAAACATAGTGATTGCACCTGCAAAATAAGTCACCATGGGCCCCAAGAAAGCTTCTAGTGCCAACCCTACAGCAAAAAGGGTGAGAATTACTATGGATATGAAGAAAGAGATCATTGCTAAGTATGAAAGTGGAGTGCGTGTCTCCGAGCTGGCCAGGTTGTACACAAAACCCCAATCAACCATCGCTACTACTGTGGCCAAGAAAACGGCAATCAAGGAAGCTGTTCTTGCCAAAGGTGCAACTATGTTTTCGAAACTGAGATCGCAAGTGATAGATGATGTTGAGAGACTGTTATTGGTGTGGATAAACGAAAAACAGATAGCAGGAGATAGCATCTCTCAAGCAATCATATGTGAAAAGGCTAGGAAGTTGCATGAGGATTTAATTAGAAAAATGTCTGCAACTAGTGGTGATGTGAGTGAATTTAAGGCCAGCAAAGGTTGGTTTGAGAGATTTAAGAATCGTAGTGGCATACATAGTGTGATAAGGCATGGTGAGGCTGCCAGTTTGGACCAAAAAGCAGCTGAAAAATATGTGCAGGAATTCAAGGAGTACATAGACAGTGAAGAATTGAAACCTGAACAAGTGTTTAACTGTGATACTGACAATGTTGTGAAACACTTTAGGAATGTCATAAAGGAACGGGAGGTACAGGCCTCTATGGACAGATATGTTGTGTGACAGAGGTCCAGTGACTCAAGCTGGTCCTAGTGGCATTAAAAGAAGAAGGGAAGTAACCCCGGAAAAGGACTTGACATCTCAAGTCCTAATGGAAGGGGATTCCCCTTCTAAACACTAACACCATCCACAGTCTCCCCTCCTCCCATCCCATCAATCATCACCAGATCTTCAATAACGGTAAGTGTCATGTAATTGTATATGTCTTCTTCAGTTTGTATGTATTAAAATTAATATTTCATGTGGTAATTTTTTTTTTCAATACTTTTGGGTGTCTTGCATGGATTAATTTGATTTCCATTATTTCTTATGGAGAAAATTAACTCGACTAACGATAATTTCGATTAATGATGAGCTCTCAGGAACGGATTAATATCGTTGGTCGAGGGTCCACTGTATTATATATATATATATATATATATATATAAATATATATATATATATATATATATAAATATATATATATATATATTTTATATATATATATATATATATATATATAATAATATATATATATATATATATATATATATATATATATATATATACGTGTATTATATACATATTTTTTTTTTTCAACAAGTCGGCCGTCTCCCACCGAGGCAGGGTGACCCAAAAAGAAAGAAAAATCCCCAAAAAGAAAATACTTTCATCATCATTCAACACTTTCACCACACTCGCCCATTATCACTGTTTTTGCAGAGGTGCTCAGAATACAACAGTTTAGAAGCATACACATATAAAGATACACAACATATCCCTCCAAACTGCCAATATCCCAAACCCCTCCTTTAAAGTGCAGGCATTGTACTTCCTATTTCCAGGACTCAAGTCCGACTATATGAAAATAACTGGTTTCCCTGAATCCCTTCACTAAATATTACCCTGCTCACACTCCAACAGATCGTCAGGTCCCAAGTACCATTCGTCTCCATTCACTCCTGTCTAACATGCTCACGCACGCTTGCTGGAAGTCCAAGCCCCTTGCCCACAAAACCTCTCCTTTACCCCCTCTCTCCAACCCTTTCGAGGACGACCCCTACCCCGACTTCCTTCCCCTATAGATTTATATGCTTTCCATGTCATTCTACTTTGATCCATTCTCTCCAAATGACCAAACCACCTCAACAACCCCTCTTCTGCCCTCTGACTAATACTTTTATTAACTCCACACCTTTTCCTAATTAACACACTCTGAATTTTCTGCATAATATTTACACCACACATTGCCCTTAGACAGGACATCTCCACTGCCTCCAACCATCTCCTCGCTGCTGCATTTACCACCCAAGCTTCACACCCATATAAGAGTGTTGGTACTACTATACTTTCATATATTCCCTTCTTTGCCTCCATAGATAACGTTTTTTGACTCCACATATACCTCAATGCACCACTCACCTTTTTTCCCTCATCAATTCTATGATTAACCTCATCCTTCATAAATCCATCCGCTGACACGTCAACTCCCAAGTATCTGAAAACATTCACTTCTTCCATACTCCTCCTCCCCAATTTGATATCCAATTTTTCTTTATCTAAATCATTTGACACCCTCATCACCTTACTCTTTTCTATGTTCACTTTCAACTTTCTACCTTTACACACATTCCCAAACTCATCCACTAACCTTTGCAATTTTTCTTTAGAATCTCCCATAAGCACAGTATCATCAGCAAAAAGTAACTTCTCCCATAAGCACAGTATCATCAGCAAAAAGTAACTGTGTCAATTCCCATTTTGAATTTGATTCCCCAAAATTTAATCCCACCCCTCTCCCGAACACCCTAGCATTTACTTCCTTTACAACCCCATCTATAAATATATTAAACAACCATGGTGACATTACACATCCCTGTCTAAGACCTACTTTTACCGGGAAGTAGTCTCCCTCTCTTCTACACACCCTAACCTGAGCCTCACTATCCTCATAAAAACTCTTTACAGCATTTAATAACTTACCACCTATTCCATATACTTGCAACATCTGCCACATTGCTCCTCTATCCACTTTATCATATGCCTTTTCTAAATCCATAAATGCAATAAAAACTTCCCTACCTTTATCTAAATACTGTTCACATATATGCTTCAATGAAAACACTTGATCTACACATCCCCTACCCACTCTGAAACCTCCTTGCTCATCCGCAATCCTACATTGTCTTACCTCTAATTCTTTCAATTATAACCCTACCGTACACTTTTCCTGGTATACTCAGTAAACTTATTCCTCTATAATTTTTACAGTCTCTTTTGTCCCCTTTCCCTTTATATAAAGGGACTATACATGCTCTCCGCCAATCCCTAGGTACCTTCCCCTCTTTCATACATTTATTAAACAAAAGTACCAACCACTCCAACACTATATCCCCCCCCTGCTTTTAACATTTCTGTCATGATCCCATCAGTTCCAGCTGCTTTACCCCCTTTCATTTTACGTAATGCCTCACGTACCTCCCCCACACTTACATTCTGCTCTTCTTCACTCCTAAAAGATGGTATACCTCCTGACCAGTGCATGAAATTACTGCCTCTGTTTCTTCCTTAACATTTAAAAGTTCCTCAAAATATTCTCGTCATCTACCTAATACCTCCCTTTCCCCATCTACTAATTCCCCTACTCTGTTTTTAACTGACAAATCCATACTTTCCCTAGGCTTTCTTAACTTGTTTAACTCACTCCAAAATTTTTTTCTTATTTTCATTAAAATTTCTTGACAGTGCCTCTCCCACTCTATCATCTGCTCTCCTTTTGCACTCTCTCACCACTCTCTTCACCTTTCTTTTACTCTCCATATACTCTGCTCTTCTTATAACACTTCTGCTTTGTAAAAACCTCTCATAAGCTACCTTTTTCTCTTTTATCACACCCTTTACTTCATCATTCCACCAGTCACTCCTCTTTCCTCCTGCCCCCACCCTCCTATAACCACAAACTTCTGCCCCACATTCTAATACTGCATTTTTAAAACTATTCCAACCCTCTTCAACCCCCCCACTACTCATCTTTGCACTAGCCCACCTTTCTGCCAATAGTCGCTTATATCTCGCCCGAACTTCCTCCTCCCTTAGTTTATACACTTTCACCTCCCTCTTACTTGTTGTTGCCACCTTCCTCTTTTCCCATCTACCTCTTACTCTAACTGTAGCTACAACTAAATAATGATCCGATATATCAGTTGCCCCTCTATAAACATGTACATCCTGGAGCCTACCCATCAACCTTTTATCCACCAATACATAATCTAACAAACTACTTTCATTACGTGCTACATCATACCTTGTATATTTATTTATCCTCTTTTTCATAAAATATGTATTACTTATTACCAAATTTCTTTCTACACATAGCTCAATTAAAGGCTCCCCATTTACATTTACCCCTGGCACCCCAAATTTACCTACTACTCCCTCCATAACATTTTTACCCACTTTAGCATTGAAATCCCGAACAACCATTACTCTCACACTTGATTCAAAACTCCCCACGCATTCACTCAACATTTCCCAGAATCTCTCTCTCTCCTCTACACTTCTCTCTTCTCCAGGTGCATACACACTTACTATAAACCCACTTTTCACATCCAATCTTTATTTTACTCCACATAATCCTTGAATTTATACATTTGTAGTCCCTCTTTTCCTGCCATAGCTTATCCTTCAACATTATTGCTACTCCTTCTTTAGCTCTAACTCTATTTGAAACCCCTGACCTAATCCCATTTATTCCTCTCCATTGAAACTCTCCCACCCCCTTCAGCTTTGTTTCACTTAAAGCCAGGACATCCAGTTTCTTCTCATTCATAACATCCACAATCATCTCTTTCTTATCATTTGCACAACATCCACGCACATTCAGACTTCCCACTTTGACAATTTTCTTCTTATTCTTTTTAGTAATCTTTACAGGAAAAGGGGTTACTAGCCCATTGTTATATATATATATATATATATATATATATATATATATATTATATATATATATTATATATTAAAGTGGACTAGGGCTACTGGGTAAACCACAGTAAAAAAAAAAAAGAACCAAGATGTCTACCCCCCTGGGTGGTTAGTTAACCCTTTCACTGTCAAGACCCCTGATCCTGAACTCACTCTGTGTCGAAAAATATTTGGAAAAAAAAAAATGATTTTTTCTTACCAAAATCTTAAGAACATTTTTGTGTGTGTTTTTAAAGGATAAAAAAATGCGATCAGTACTTACTGAGATATAGAGACATGAAGTTGACAAAGTGAACTGCTTATGACAACATCAATAGCTACCGTTCACTCGGTTATATTATTTTTACTTTTATTCAATTTTTTCTTTTCTTCTTTAATATTTTATTTTTTTCAAGTAACTTTTGTGGCTTGTGAGACCAATATAATGCATAATGTATATATATAGTGGTATATATATAATGTATATATATAGTGGAAGGTTGACAATCATCTGGGTTTTCAGCACTATTTCTGGTATCCCTGGCATTGCTTTCGGTCACAAACTCCCAAAACCATGAGATTCATCTTCAGTGACACTTCAATTTGTGTTAGAGCTATCACTTGGAAAGGGAAGAGTCCCAATTTTCCGGGGAGTGAGGCATTCCTTACCGCTAGGCTTGGTGACCAAGGCGTACTGAATTAGCACTCCCACAATTATTAGCCTCCCCGATTTTTTTTATACTGTGCACACTGACCACACAGACTCATTCTCTCACATGTAGGTCTACCAGCTTTCTCCTGCTAGATCTGAAGCTGCTAGAATTTTGGCGTATTAATACATCACCAACACTGGCCCGTAAGCCGTACCTATACAGCACCGACAGTGAAAGGGTTAAAGACATTGCGAATCATTCATGACAAGTAGTTGTTGAGGCTCGATTCTCCATCCACTAATTGTGGCACAGTACTTGCCTTTCTTATTCACTAGAAAAAACAATACTGTAAAAAATAGTCACATCATAGCAAGGAAGTGAATATACCTGTGTTTACTGCTGTGGTATCTTGGCCTTGATGCTGACCATCAAGGCGGTGATGGAGGCTTGAGTTATGTAGCTGCCCATCATTATTCACTAAAGATGTTCTCACTGATGATGACAGGTGTATTTCATCAAGTTGACTTCCATCTAGGTCAGCCACCTTCAACAAATTTGCATATGAACTTAATGTAATAATCACTTAATTAATATGCGGTACAATACTTTAAACTAAAAAAAAATAAAAGCCTTCAGTGTGGCTGTAAATGTTTGTCTTCTAAATATTGCATAAAAAAAAAAATAGTATTGGTAGGTAAAGAGAATTGAATTTATGCAGGGGATGGATAATATATAACTATGTATTGTATGCCTAGAACATAGTGCCCTCAAAACTACTGTAAAACCATTTGTACATTTTATAACTAAAGCTTTAGCTTATCCTATGTTTTACCACAACATCTGTGCTACATCAACTTACATTCAGACCAGCTTCAACTCAATATTCCCTTCGTTTTCTTTTGTTCTGTAATGACATACAGCAAAAATGGATTACTAGCCCCTTGTTACTATCATAAGACCCTCAAGGGCAGTGCCTGGATGCTAGTGAAAGGCTTTTGGTTCAAGGAATGGGAATTATTCTCCCCTTCCTTGGATCGAATCTGAATGCCTCCCATTCCCCACTGTGGGTCTAGCACTTTCCCACAATTAACATGGATACTGATATAAGCCACTTTCCATGACAGTCATGTCTTTCAGGAAGAGGACTCTTAATCATTTCACAATGAAAATGTTAAGAAAACATTACAAGGATAAGAACAACTATGGAATACAGATGAAAGCAAAAAGCATATACTGTACCTAAGTAAAAATTTGTAATATTTACTTATCTTACATTTTCTTGATACAAGACTTCAATGACAAGACAGTAGTAATCCCCATCCCTTCCTTTTTGTGATTGATGTCTACCAACCCCTTACCTATAATTATACTGAATCAAGGAGGAGAATATGGATAATAATTATACTGAATCAGAATATGGATAAAAATTATACTGAATTAGGAAGGAGAATATGGATAATTCATGTTAGATACAAAAAAGCTTAGTAGATACATATTAACAGGAACAGATGAATAGATGAACGAATTATTAATACTAGTACCTGCTGTGTAGAAGCTGGCGTGGTGGTGTACATGATGTTGAGACCATTCGTTGACGGCACTGTGTGTGGGGTAACTTCTTCATCTCTACTGTTGATCATAATATATGTTGCATGATCCCCAATAGAAGATGTCACTCCTGGACCTCCAGCAGGTGTTGCTAAAGCCATGCCATATGAACAATTTACTTCATTTTCTTCTGAACCACTGATTGGAATGATTGATGGTACTGTTAAAGGGTTACTACTGATGAAGATCCCATCTTTTGTTGAAACAGTGCCACTGAGACTTGCAGATTCCAGGTCAGATGGCAGCAATTGTTCTGGAATGAGATGAGCAGGTGTCCCTCCTGGCAACAAAAATTCTGTCAAGTCCTTTGATTTTACCTGGCTATCCCGGTCTTGCTGTTGGTGCTGTGAAACCTGTTGCAGCTGGTGCTGTTGTTTAATAGATTGAGATTTTTTATCATTGCGATGAACTTTGCGAATGTGAGATGTGAGATCAGCCTTTACAGCAAATGATTTAAAACAAAGAGCACAAGTAAAATGCTTTACTTTTTCATGTCGTTTTTTATGCCTTGTAACACACCGAGTAGTTCTAAACAATTTACCACAAACTTCACAAGAAAATGGCCTTTCTTGTTTATGAAATATCATATGCTCTAGCAAGTAATTACTATCCACATAACCTTTTCCACACACTTTGCATATATTAGGCCTCTCATTTGTGTGGTGTTGCAAAAAGTGATGTTGCTGATCCCGCTTTGCATTGAATCCCATCCCACACATTTCACACACCCAGGGTTTGTCCAAGTTATGCAACACTAGGTGCTTGGCTAAATTTCCTCTACAACTTAATACTTTGTTGCAGATGTAACATGTGTGGGGGTCCCGACTTCCTTGACCTGAAGGAGCCACTTTATATTCTCGCTGCCGAAGTGGTTTGCCATCTTCCCCTAACTTTCTCGCATATTTTCGTTTTTCAGTCTTCTCACGTGGTTTTGCTTTAGGACCAGGTTTTCTCTTGGTCTTTTTAATTGTATTCTCTTCTGGAGGGGTTTGAGGGGGTGTATCTCCTGGGTCATCAACCATTTCTTCTTCTATTTTTGTCATTGCTGTATCTGTTCTGTCTTTGTTCCATCTGCCTTCTGAATTGTTGTTCTGTAAGGTCTGAATAGTAGTTGTAGTTAATGACTTCAGTGAGGCAGTATCCTGACTTTTGACTTTCTGATGAGGTGTGGTGAACTTGAATAAGGCTGATGAGAGCTCTTGTACTGTGTGAGTCATATGATGCTGACTTAAATCTTTGGGTTGGGTGAAGTCTCTTCCACACACGGCACAGTTCCACGTTGTCTCACACTCTGCACCATCCTCCACATCTTGTTCTTGAATGTTTTGTCCCTCAACAATATAATGTGCATCATAATTTCTCTGAGGATCTCCCCTTTCAATCTTAAGTTCATATGTGGGTTCTTCAGGTTGTCTCAGAGGTGACATTAAAGCATCAACAGTAGACTGGGATGTTGTCGTTGTAAATGTTAAGCTGTTTGGATTTTCCGTGCAATCCTTCTCTTGGTGATACCCAACAGCTTCTGAGCTAGTGAATGCTAGGTTGCAGTAGGCACAAGTCCATACCACACTACATGGGGTATCATTCTTACTTTCAGATCTAATGGTTGGTCTAAGCACTTCACTCTCATGGTACTGATTAGAGCCCACACTACTGATGATATTATTCTCTGAAAGTTTTGTATGCACAAGACTACCAGCTCTTGTAAGCATACTAAAGCCATGTAGATGTTGTGGTATGCTCTCTACATCCTGTTCTGCAATAATGCGAACCATATCTAGACTGAGAGTGTCATCACCTAAGAGCTTTACTATGACCTGTGGGGGTAATTTGCGGCCACTTCCATTTACACTTTGGCAGTCAGGAGCTACCATTGATGTTACAACAGCATCTATTGAGGATGAAGTCACAAGGTTGCCATCAATAACTGCCTCATCAGATGTACTGACAATTTGATTCATATCCATGTGAGATGCTCTACTGGGTGTTGACGATCCTACAGCAGACATTGTAGCTACAGTGAGTGTATCGCTAGCAGAGATGGCAGCATCCCCAAAGGTGTTATCTGTGTTAATGCTTGCAGACTGAATAGTATTTGTTGTATTGAGAACAGACTCATTACCTGCATTTCCATTAGCATGAGATGTAACAGTCAATGTACCAGCAACTGAAAGAGGTGGTGCTGGAAGAGGTAGTGTCCCAGTATGAGACGTAGTTGTGAGAACTGTGGCTGCAGAGAGAGCATTGTTAACCAGAGCTGATGAAGCCAGAGCCTCACCCCCCGACAGAGTAACAGTGGTCAAAGTGTCTGTATCAGATACAGCAGTAGAATCATCATGTACCACAGAGGTCAACTTGAGGGTTGTTGCTGGGTCCTGTTGCAATTTGATGTGATCATAATGATCATACATAATGTGGTATTCTGCATCTTCCCCAACACCAGAATCTTGATACCTGTTGACATTCATGTACATTATACATATTTTACTTAAAAAATTACCAAATTTCATCACATTCATTCCATTCATGATGCTGCTCTAGTCTACAAAGTTACTTAGTTGATGAAAAATGTCCAATTTTAGTTCATGTGATACGGCAGCCTTACATAAAACCAACGAGAAAAAATAATTAGAGAAAATTTAAGAAGTTCTAAAGTACGAACTATAAGCATGAAATGACATGCAAAAAAGATATATGAAAGCTGTATATTTCATTCCTTGTCCTGCAACTGCTTTTTTAGTAAATTTACTGTAATATGCTACTAGTATGTTGCCCATGGCCTAGTAGGCAACACTCATGCTTCACAAACTGAGTGTCTGTGATTCAATCCCTGGCAAGGGTGGAAACATTGGGCGTGTTTCCTTACACCTGTTGTCCCGTTAACTAGCAAGCAAGTAGGTATCTGGGTGTTAGTCAACTGTAGTGGGTCGCATCCTGGGGAATAAGATTGAAGACCCCAATGGAAATAAGACAGACAGTGCCTCAATGATGCACTGCCTTTCTTGAGTTATCCTGGGTGGCTAACCCTCCAGGCTTAAAAATCCAAACAAAATCTCATCTTATCTTATGCTTGATGAAGAGGCTTCCAGAGCAGCAATCAAAATAAATTTTCCAATTTGTTGCATTTTAAAGAAAGGGTTTTCTTTAACAATTGTGGTACAGTATGATGCAATGCAACAATACAGTAATTGAAGTTATTTTTGTACTAGTGTTAATAATTGTGGAACACACCCTTTCAAGCTGTGCCAGTCATCCATGACTAATTACAGTGTCACATTACAAATACTGCATCTATCTAAATTCTCATCTATGTCTTTAATAATAATAATACCAATAATAATAATATCTTTATTTACTACAAGTACATGTACAAGGTATACAGGCTTAGGTGACATCAATGACATACTACTATATAAAAACCCGTTTGTTAGGCAGAGCATTTCGGGCAAATTAGGTCAGTTTTGTCTCAGGATGCGACCCACACCAGTCGACTAACACCCAGGTACCCATTTTACTGATGAGTGAACACAGACAACCGGTGTAAGGAAAGAAGTCCAACGTTTCCACCCCTTCGCCGGAAATCGAACCTGGACCCTCACCATGTGAAGCGAGCGCTTTTGCTACCAGGCCACGGGGCACCTAACTAGGAGTTTTTTTTTTCAATCTGTACACAAACTTTTAACTAATTCCCCATAAAGTTGATGTTCATTCTAAAAACAAGGTAAAAAATATTATTATTATTATTACTACTTAAGAAAACAAAGGAGGGTTAACATAAATGAACTGACCACATCCAACAAAAAGTCAATAAATATTGAAAACACTAGGGCATCAGAAAGGGTTTCACTGATCAAAATTAGTCTTCAAATGTATCAAAAATGTATAAAAATTCTCTGAGGGCATCCCATTCACTCACTGCATGAAAGTTCCATTCACTCAGCACTTTGTCCACCACAGTACCAGTCACCACTTCGTCCACCACAGTACCAGCCACCACTTCGTCCACCACAGTACCAGCCAGCACTTCCTCCACCACAGCACCAGCCAGCACTTCATCCATCACAGCACCAGCCAGCACTTCCTCCACCACAGCACTAGCCAGCACTTCATCCACCACAACACCAGAAACCACTTCATCCACCACAGCACCAGCCACCACTACATCCACCACAGCACCAGCCACCACTTCATCCACCACAGCACCAGCCACCACTTCATCCACCACAGCACCAGCCAAACCCCTTCATCCACCACAGCACCAGCCACCACTTCATCCACCACAGCACCAGCCACCACTTCATCCACCACAATACCATCCACCACTTCATCCACAATGGCACCAGCCACCACTACATCCACCCCAGCACCAGCCACCACTTCATCCACAACTACATCCACCACAACACCAGCCACCACTTCATCCACCACAACACCAGTCACAACTTCATCCACCACTACAATCCACCACTTCATCCACCACTACATCCACCACAACACCAGCCCCCACTTCACCACAACACCAGCCACCACTTCATCCACCACTACAATCCACCACAACTCCAGCCACCACTTCACCAAACACCAGCCACCCCTTCATCCACCACAACACCAGCCACCACTAAATCCACCACAGCACCAGCCACCACTTCCCTCCACCACAGCAACAGCCACCACTTCATCCACCACAATACCGCCACCACTTCATCCACCACAGCACCAGCCACCACTACATCCACCACAGCACCAGCCCCCACTATATCCACCACAGCACCAGCCACTACATCCACGACAGCACCAGCCACTACATCCACCACAGCACCAGCCACCACTACATCCACCACTACATCCACCACAGCACCAGTCACCACTACATCCACCACAGCACCAGCCACCACTACATCCACCACAGCACCAGCCACCACTACATCCACCACAGCACCAGCCACCACTACATCCACCACAGCACCAGCCAACCACTACATCCACCACAGCACCAGCCACCACTACATCCACCACAGCACCAGCCACCACTACATCCACCACAGCACCAGTCACCACTACATCCACCACAGCACCAGCCACCACTACATCCACCACAGCACCAGCCACCACTACATCCACCACAGCACCAGTCACCACTACATCCACTACAGCACCAGCCACCCACTACATCCACCACAGCACCAGCCCACCACTACATCCACCACAGCACCAGTCACCACTACATCCACCACAGCACCAGCCACCACTACATCCGCCACAGCACCAGTCACCACTACATCCACCACAGCACCAGCCACCACTACATCCACCACAGCACCAGCCACCACTACATCCACCACAGCACCAGCCACCACTACATCCACCACAGCACCAGCCACCACTACATCCACCACAGTACCAGCCACCACTACATCCACCACAACACCAGTCCCCCACTACATCCACTACAGCACCAGCCACCACATCATCCACCACAGCACCAGCCACCACTACATCCACCACAGCACCCCGCCACCACTACATCCCCCACAGCACCAGCCACCACTACATACACCACAGTACCAGCCACCACTACTTCCACCACAACACCAGCCACCACTACATCCACCACAGCACCAGCCACCACTACATCCACCACAGCACCAGCCACCACTACATCCACCACAGTACCAGCCACCACTACATCCACCACAGCACCAGCCACCACTACATCCATCACAGCACCAGCCACCACTACATCCACCACAACACCAGCCACCACTACATCCACCACAGCACCAGCCACCACTACATACACCACAGTACCAGCCACCACTAATCCACCACAACACCAGCCACCATACATCCACCACAGCACCAGCCACCACTACATCCACCACAGCACCAGCCACAACTACATCCACCACAGCACCAGCCACCACTACATCCACCACAGCACCAGCCACCACTACATCCACCACAGCACCAGTCACCACTACATCCACCACAGCACCAGCCACCACTACATCCACCACAGCACCAGCCACCACTACATCCACCACAGCACCAGCCACCACTACATCCACCACAGCACCAGTCACCACTACATCCACCACAGCACCAGCCACCACTACATCCACCACAGCACCAGCCACCACTACATCCACCACAGCACCAGCCACCACTACATCCACCACAGCACCAGTCACCACTACATCCACCACAGCACCAGCCACCACTACATCCACCACAGCACCAGCCAACAGATTAAACACCCAGCAACTCACATGTCTGGCGCCTGTGGCAGGCCAAGGAGCAAATATCACAGTATGTTCCTCCACAGCCACAGAGCATAGACCAGTTGTTATTCCTCAGGTAAACATTGTGGGTCTGGTGCGGAGGAGGATCAGTTGCTGCCGCTGTGGGATCCAACTTCACCTGAACGCCAGTTATGAGCTCTGAATCTAAAGACTACCATAATCACTATATTTACCTTACTGAAACCAAAAATTACTGTAAACAGTTCGCTATTACTACTAGTTTTATTCAGGTATAGATTCACATAAATATAGCTACATAAATTATCATGCACAGTAGCATATTTGTAGATTATACACAATACACAACTAGGATATCCCAAGAAAGTCAGACAGTGACTTATTTGCAATGGATGTCCATGTAATAACTTATTAAAACATTCAAAGAAGATATACTAGGAATAAGGTAAACTGAGTTATTTACATATATTTTATTTATTTTATTTTATTTTATTTAGTAATTTGAGCATACATACAGAGGTACAAAAAAATACAGGTAAGAGCAGCATGCCAAAGCCACTTATATGCATAGCATTACGGGCTGGCTTAAAATTAACTTAAGATTAACTAAGCAATGATGATATCAGTGATAAGACATTATTGTAAACAGATAACTATAAAGCACAAATGAGTATTACAAAGACAGGCCATATGGTTGCATGCATTGCTGTACATTCAGTCGAATGGAGTATTCTGTTAGATTGGGTTTTAGGTTTAACATTTATGTGATATAATTGTGAGAAACATTTTTAAGATATACAATTTATAAGGTTCAGTTATTCAGTATTTATTTGGTTTTGGGTGAGTAAGTGATCTTTGAGAAGAGACTTGAATTTATAAACAGGTTTGTGTTTCTTTTATATTTACAGGTAATGAATTCCAGATTTTAGGGCCTTTTATGTGCATTGAGTTTTTGCATAGTGTGAGATGGACACGAGGAACATCAAAGAGTGATCTGTGCCTTGTGTTATGGTCATGTGTTCTGTTGAGGTTGGCAAGGAGATGTTTGAGGGGAGGGTTAATATCAGAGTAAGTGTTCTATGTATGTAATAGGTGCAATAATAAGTATGGATGTTTTGTATGGTGAGTAGGTTGAGTGTTTTGAATATTGGTGGAGTGTGTTGCCTGTAGTGAGAATTTGTTATCATTCTAAGTGCAGCCTTTTGTTGGGTAATTAGTGGTCTGAGATGGTTAATTGTTGTTGAGCCCCATGCACAAATTCCATAGGTGAGATAGGGGTAAATAAGAGAGTGATAAAGGGCCAGGAGGGCTGACTGTGGAACATAGTACCGTATCTTCGATAGTATGCCTACAGTCTTGGAAATTTTCTTAGAAATTTGTTGTATATGTGTATGAAATTTGAGTCTATTATCAAGGTGGATTCCTAAGAATTTTCCCTCTGTTAGCTTTGTGATAAGTGATCCGTTTATCATTATCAAAGAGAGGATAGATCACAGTAATGCATGATCTATCCTCTTTTTGATGTACGTGTCTATAACTTAGTTTACCTTATTCCTAGTATATCTTTTAATGTCTTAATAATAATGTATTACAAGGACTCCAATGGAAATAAGTCAATACAGACACTCAGTGGAAAAATAAACACAGAAGCAGTATAATGTGATCCTTTACTGAGAACGTTTCGCCCGTACAGTGAGCTTTATTAAGTCACAAATATGTCAATAAAAGATGACATTATACTGCTTTTGTGTTTATTTTTCCGTTGTGCGTCGGTATTTTATACCAGTTATTTCCACGGAAAATCAGTGTGTGAGGCGAGTGCGTAGACAACCAAGTTACTGAGGCTCGCAGGACCCTATGTCTAGCCCTTATACCTGAAGTTTACCTGGCCGCGGGGGTCAACGCCCCCGCGGCCCGGTCTGTGACCAGTTCTCATGTGTACGAATGGTATATAATACCGACAAGATGAGAGTAAGACACATGTGCAACATCTGGGTATCTTTATTGTAGACGTTTCGCCATCCAGTGGCTTTATCAATACAAATTCTAGGACATAACTTAAAGACAGTAGAACTATGTACAGAAGATGAGGTAATCAGTCCCTCAACCTAGGAGTAGGTGCGAACAGCACCATAGTCGACTATGGTGCTGTTCGCACCTACTCCTAGGTTGAGGGACTGATTACCTCATCTTCTGTACATAGTTCTACTGTCTTTAAGTTATGTCCTAGAATTTGTATTGATAAAGCCACTGGATGGCGAAACGTCTACAATAAAGATACCCAGATGTTGCACATGTGTCTTACTCCCGACCAGTTCTCATGGTGGATCAAGGCCTGATCAACCAGGCTGTTACTGCTGGCTGCACGCAATCCAACGTACGAGCCACAGCCAGGCTGGTCGTATGGATTACGCTTGCTCTTCATGGTACTCTGCCTTGACAAAAAAAAAAAAAAAACTGAAAGACAGACTGCAAATCACCCAGAACAAAATAGTAAGATTCATCCTGGGCCTTGGTCCAAGAGAACACGTAGACCAGGATGAATTACAACAGTTGGATATGCTGAATGTTGAAGACAGATTAAAACAACTGAAGCTAAATCATGTTTATAAAATTGCTCACAAACAGTGTCCAGAATATCTTGCTGCCAATTTTGTCAAGGTTGGGAACTAAAGCAATCATAGTGCAAGGGGGAGAGAACACAACTTTGTAGTACCCACAGTCAGTGGCCAGGTTTCAAACACCTTTAATTGTACAGCAATAAAGGAATGGAGCAGACTGCCTGCACATGTCAAAGCCAGTCTTAGCATAAACCAGTTCAAGAAGAGTGGCAAAAGGTGTCTGATGAATGTAGCTACAGAAAAGGAGGGGATGATTTTTTTATTTTTTAGCTAACACACGTGTAATTTTACCTTATTCCTAGTAATGACCCTCGTATTGTAGATAGTATTAATGACCCTCGTGTAGTAGATAGTCTTTTTAGTATGATAATAATGTGGAAAATACTGTATATATTTTCCAGAAATTCAGTATTTATATGTAAATAGATGGCCATACTGTATTTAATAATATTTATGTCATAGAAAACGGAAAGCCTGCGTCTGTGCAGACGAGACTCGCCATCTTGGTTTTTGAATTTGTATTAGAAACGTTGGTGTAATGGGAAGAATTTTTCGTGCTCTAGAGGTTAAAATTGTGCTGACACCTCTCAAATAGGAGGCGAAATTGGTGGATATGCATTCCTGCATAACTTGAGATATCAGACGACTGGACAAGACAGCTCCAGGAACCTCAGATAAGCTCTCTAGATTTGTGTGTAATTCTGGCCAGCATTATTTTCATAGATTTAGTTAGAGTGAGGTTTTCTGAGTATGATACACATTAATCTCCAGTCAAATTGGTGAGTGATATTAAGATATATTTTCCTTCTGTTACGTAATTGTGTGTATATATATAACCATTTATTTTTAATATACAGTCCACAAATTTATATATTTACCAGCATTCCTGGTGTATGTATATTTCATTTAATTAATAGGTCCAGAGCAACTTGTGGATATGACAGTGGTAGGTATCGAAGGGGGACATTTTTTGCGACCTAAGTGTCCCAAATTCCTACTTGTCTAACTGATAAATAATAGTTATCATTGTTCATTTACTGTTATGTACATAATTAGTTACATTCAAGTAAATGCAATTTTCCACACTACGTAAGCTTCTTTTAGAAAAAAATATACTGAACATTCTCTTTATTTAAGGCTTATTTGGTCAGTTTATCAACTTGGTCATGCTCCTGGAGGCCTATGCGAAGGGGATCCACAAAACCTGAACTGTAATCCCTTTCTTAATAATAATTGTCTTAACTTTTCGAGGGAGAGTGGTATCCTAAGTAAATAAACTTACTAATCTGCCCCATAGCTTCATACACAAGCATACTACATTCAGGTCTCAGGTTATTTAGAACAATTAGTGTGTGCAGTCGTAGTTTCCACAAGCTTGAGAACAATAAGTAAGGTCAACAGTTCAGTTTGTAAGGTGGAAACCCAGTTATTAATTATTTATAATACACCTTTGGATTATAATATCACCAATCTGGTTAACAATAATAAAAATCCAACACTTAAACATTTGTTGAACATATTTTCTGCAATTTAACATTCCTCTCGCCTGACCTAACTTATGCCTCAGGACACCTGCACTGTCTACTATATATTAACCTGTTTTACCTTACTCTGTAAAGACTAAAAAGGCACAATACCGTGACTGGAACAATACACAAATAACCCGCACATATGAGAAAGAAACTTGCGAATTTTATTAAGTTTTATTTAATTTTCTTCTATTCACTGTAACTTTATCAATCCGTTACGGCTTGATAAAGTTCCTGGAGAGCGAAACGTTGCCGCAATAAAATGTCACGTTAGTTGCACTTGTGTCCTTTTACCTAAGATATTGTAGGTAATTCTACCAACATTAATACATTAGGACTAATGAAACCAGTCGTGGTGAAATGTTTCCTTTAATAAATGTCCTAAACTGATGGCTAAAGTTCTCGCTTCACACGGTGAGGGTCCGGGTTCGATTCCCGGCGAAGGGGTGGAAACATTGGACGTGTTTCTTTACACCGGTTGTCCATGTTCACCCATCAGTAACATGGGTACCTGGGTGTGGGTCGCATCCTGGGACAAAACTGACCTAATTTGCGGGAAATGCTCAGCATAACAAGCGGCTTTCTAAATAATAGTATGTCAGCTATGGTCTGTATACCTTGTACATGTACTTGTAGTAAATAAAGAGTATTTATTATATTATATTATTATTATTTATTATTATTATATTATTATTATTATTATTATTTTATTATTATTATTATTATTATTATTATTATTATTATTTATTATTATTATTATTATTATTATATTATTATTAATTATTATTATTATAAGTGTCCTTCACACTGTGCTCAGGTCGTCATAACCATCAACCCAACAACAACAGCAACAACATCATGGAAGCTCAGACTTCTGAAAAAAGAATCTGCTAACATGAGTAAACTGAAGCTTCTTAGTCATAGTACGAAGCTAAGCCATAATACGAACTATAAGGGTATGTATGTCTGTATATGGGCGGAGGTATTGCACACTGCTGTCGACTGTATGGATGATTTGTTGTTGTTTTTGGTGTAGCAACCTTCAAGGAGATGAAGATGCTGGCGAAGGACTCTTGAGCCAAGGACCCCTCAAGGAAGGTTCCTTGATGTTGGTGAGGGGCTCTTGACTTAGGGAATTGGATCTCTGCTCCAGTTCCCCGAATTAAGCCTGAATGCCTTCCACATCCCCCCCCCCAGGCGCTGTATAATCCTCCGGGTTTAGCGCTTCCCCCTTGATTATAATAATAATAATTTAGCCAAGGAATTCGTACTGTGCTTCCCTTTCTTATATCAAACTTGATTACCTTCCATTCCTGAGGCATTGTATTGTCATGCGCAAGACACTGACTTTTTTGAGTTATCTTAGGTAATTTACACATATGTTACTATGTATGATAATTTGTGTACCTGTACTTTAATAAACTTATTTCCCAGTATACAGGGGGATTGCCAATAGACCCTTGGCTGTCTTCAAGAGGAAACTGGACACTACCTGACCAACCAGGCTGTGGTTCATACATTGGATTACATGCGACCAGTAGTAACAGCCTGGTTGATCAGGCCCTGATCCACCGTGAGGCCTGGTCATGGACCAGGCCGTGGGGGAATTGACCCCCGGAACACTCTCCAGGTATGCATTCTCCCAGAATGAGAGATAGTAATAGGTTAGGTAAGGTTTGTCAGGAAACAGGACAAGTGCTTCCTGACGCGGGTTTTAGTCAGATGATGACCCGCCGTTGTAGCTTTTGGCCGTCTGACTGAGGTCTTCCGCTGGCTTACTGGTTCACCCCTTTAAAAATTATGGTCATAGTTATAGCCATAGTAATAATCTCTTTTACTGCTGTTTATTGTACAGTAAGTAGTATATGGGAACAGAGTGCAGTGACATGACCTTACAACATCACTCCAGGATTTGAACTAGGATCAGGGCAGTGCCCTTCAGTGCTGATACCCTAATGGCTAATGTCTCGCCCAATGGTCTCTCTATAAGCATGGATATTAAGTATACTCCAGCCACTTACAAATGAATTATAAAGTATCAATGCAACATCACTCATACTACTGACAAGAGAGAATGAGGATGCCTCAGGTGTCAGGGATTGCCTAGACAGACCTGGACTCCAGACTTCATTCTGCAAAGGCTGTTGGTTTGAGTGGTCCTTTCTCCACAGGGAATGTCCTTACAGTAAGTGACTACTTGATCTAGGTTATGCCTGCTCTTATGGGCAGTGCCTCTCAAGAAAGGTTCCTGATGCCATTGAGGGGCTTTTGATGGAAGGAATTAAATCTAACTTTCACCTTCTTTGAATCAAGCCTGGTTGCTTCCTATTTCCCTAATTACTGCGTAACCTCTACAAGTTTAGTGTATCCCCCTAAATATAATAAAATCATAATGTGGATCAATGTGACAGTTTTTATTTTTGAAGCATTTATTCTTTCTCACAAATTTGTTTACTAAACATAGTGACTAAATGCTTGATATGTGGAAAATACATTGAAATGTATCTTTTCTCCAATGAGGCATTTATCATTAATCATCCACTTATGCAAAAACTGACTACAGTATTTTATATACATCCAAGCCTTTGAGGCTCTTTAAATCCTCTCATGTTCTGCATATGGAATTGGTGAAAAAATGAAATAGTTCATGATGTATGAATAAATTAGTCAGTGACATTACCTGATTATTTTGTCATTTTGTATGGATCTTACTTGCCAGGTATTAGCATTTAACTTGCCTTCATATCTTGCCCTTTCATGCATATTAAAAATATCTTGTTACTTTAAAGCACCTTTGCCTTTTCAGAAGAGTTTTCCAATGTTTTACAATAATCATTTCACTCTGCAGTATGGCTGCTTATCTAGGTTACTTTTGCAAACATGATGTATGTATATGCAAACACTGAGACATTGTAAGTATGATTTAAATAAAGTTTGCCTATTTACAGTCAAACTCTCATTACGTGGTATGACAAACAGTGCAGATTTTTTTTTTCACTTAAGTGGTGCATTATTTGGTAATAGCTGAGGCCTTATTGCAAAATTTTGCCATGAGATAATGAGAAGCAGAGTAATTTCTTAAAATTTTATTTACTAGTGTTTTCACAGATAGATATTTTTTGCATTATTATTACCTATTATTATTATTATTATTATTATTATTATTATTATTATTAAGTCAGGTCCAAGAACATTACCAAAATGTAAAAAACAAATATATATATATATACTGGGTTAGCTGTAGTCCATATTAATTAATGTCAGTGGCTAAGAGATTGATACTGGCTTTGAATTAAGTATGTACATGTACTGCACTGTAGTAGTAACAACTGTTTTAAAATTAATTTTGCCAGCAGTACTGTATGCTAGTCTATACTATAATCTAAAACTCAATAATTTTTGTTATATAAGATTTTAACTATGTTGCTAAGCAAATGCAGAGTTTATTAATATATGTATAAATATTTTTATTATGTTTAAAAGAAATTTTGTCACATTTTAGATACAATATTTGTTTTGAATACAGAACAGTACTGTTCTGTAGGACTGCTACTACTACTACTATTACTACTAATAGTACTGTAGTTTATAAATGGTATAAATTTCCCATAGATGAAGATCTTCTGGTGAACATAAAAGACCTGGGTTCGGATGTGAAGGTAGGAGATGTTATTGAAGTTTATCACCCCGAAGATGACTTACCACGCCTGCTTCTCCAAGTTCCCAAAACGATTGAGGATGTCACTGTTCAGAAAGGTGTCCAACTGCTTTTTGTTTTCTTATTGTAATAAATATTTTCGTAAGTCATATTATTGTCATTAACACTGTAGGTACTCCTGAAAATATTTGATTTGAATTATTGTACAGTACATGTATATATATTAATAATGTACTTTCAAAGTAATTTATTTGCTTGTATAATACACTAGTGCTGAATACTGTAATTCTTATGCAAAGTTTGTAATTTCAGATACTATTAGCATTGAGCAGAGTGTGGCAGCCACCTTCCAGTTGCGAACATATAAGGATGTAATTGTAAACAAGGTTGACCCCAAAAGTGTTACTTTGGAAATGGTGGAACTCACATTTAAAGACCAGTATCTTGGTCGCTCTGATATGTGGAGACTTAAAATGAACTTGGTAAGTATAATCAGTTTTGAGATCACTCAAGCAAACACTGTAATTTGAAGAAATTTAATATTCAAATTAGAAAAAGCTTTGAAATAGTTGAAAATTACTAATATGTAACATTGGTTAAATGTAACCATTACATAACTTGAAGAAAAGTATTAATGTTGGTACTGTATTAACAAAACTATAAGTTAGGGTTAATATGCACAGATAATTTTGAATAGCTCATTTTGTGCGTGTCCAAAAATTATAATAATGAAATTACCGTATGTATATCTTTTGGTGTTTGTGGACTTTGATTTTGTGTTTGCAGGTGGATTCTGTTGTGTATCTCAACAAGAAGATAGAGTTTTGTTTAATACGATGCCAAGTTTATGAGATGTGGGCCCAAGGAGGAAAGGTTGCATGTGGAGTTATAACAGAGGACACAAAGGCAAAGATGAAAGCAATTTTTTTTTTTTGTATTTAGTAGTATTTAATGGGTAAATGCAATAATAATGGTGTGGTATGAATTTTGTACACAATATAGTGGTTCCTTGAGTTACAATATTAATTCATTCCAGAAGATGTATTGTATCTCAGGACTATTGTATCCAAGCTGCCTTTGGATACTTTTTGTTGCTTAAACTCTAGGGTTTTCTGAGTGGTCAACAAGCACAGGCTTCAGCCTGAAATCTTCAGAGACATTGGCAGTGGAGGCAGGGCAGGCAGACCATAACAGGCATTGCAGTCAGGGCAAGCTGGAGTATACAAAGCAAGATAGAGCAGGTAGGGCAGGACAGGCCAGAGCATGCAGGGCAGGACAGGACAGGCTCGGCCATACCAGCCAGGCCAGAGTAGGCAGGGTAGAACAGGGTTGGGCAGGCAGGCAGGTAGGCAGAAGGTAGGCAGGCAGATAAACAGACAGGCAGGCAGAGATAGATTATGAATTGTAGATTTAATGCCTATTCTTGTTGCAGTCTTCCACCCCTTACACCTTGAACACTGCTGTCTCTCTCCCTCCTCTGCCTGCCTGCCTCTCTCCCTCCCTTGTATCCTCCCTCCCTCCCTCCCTCTCACTCACCTTTAACACTTCATCCACCATTGCTTCAGTTAAGACCTTTTCTTCACCTTGTCTTGTCTCTGGGTTGAGGTCCACTCACATGTGCTACTCATTTTATGCATATCATATCTCAAATTTTTCCCTCACAACACAAAACTAAATTGCTTTTAAGGGTAAATCATAACTCAAAATTATTGTAACTCAAGACCATCATAGCTCAAGGGACTACTATATTATATATGGTAAATTTAGAGGAACCTATATATTCTGCAGTTGCATATGATATTTAGTACTTATTTTAATATATGATAATTAGGTACATGTCACTCTTGAATATTACCCTGAATTTCAGCTTTATTACATTTTTCATTGAATAATGTATGTTTTAATGCAGCCTTACTAAGTTATCCTGTAAGTTTTGTATGCTGCTTAATTATTATCTAAAATGTATTAAATCCTTAAAATATATTTTTATGGCTTTCATGATATTATGCAAGTATCATTCACATCATAAGTACAATAAAATGTAATACAGTATCTTAATATGAGCATGTCTTGTTTCCCATAGGTTGCATATCGATCATCTACAAGCATGGTCTACCTCTTTATCCAAATGAGTTCTGAAATGTGGGACTTTGATATGTATGGAGATCTTTATTTTGAAAAGGCCGTGAATGGATTCCTCTCAGAGCTTTTTGCCAAATGGAAGGTCAGTTCTTTGAACTCTCTTAGCCATATCATCTGTCCATACACTGTCCCATACAGTACCATGAAGCAGGGAGTTTGCTCAGACACTCCTCCATATTAACTCAATTTTCAGTTGCACACACCTTGACATTTTAACAGTTTGGGATTAATAGGCAGGTTACCCTAACTTTGTATGGATTCACTTCATGCAAATTCACTTTAGGAGAACAGCAAGATTTTGGCTCAGCTGGGACTGGAGGCTGTCTGAGACTTCTGAACATCTGAGACAACCTATTGTGAAAAGTCTATAGGCAGTTTTCTGAGAAAAATTGGACAAAGAAAATTAAATACAGTAAACCCTTGTTATAATGGACTAATAGAGGAATTCTCTGAGTGTTCTTTAAATGAGAATAATGTTAAAAACTGTCATAAAAAAGCACTACTCTACTGTCCTGAGTTTTTTCCCAGGGTTTTTGTCCTACCTCATGGGCTATTAGTTCTCCTGCAGTGCTCCTTTTTTTTTTATCTTGTTCTTAGATTACTACTACTACTACCATTGCTTCAATAACATTCCACTCTGACTCTTGTGTTGCTGCAGCGCTGTATAGCCCTTGTGGCTTAGTGCTTCTTTTTGATTATAACAATAATAATCTTGTGTTGCTACACTACTCCCTTTCTTGTTGTCACATCTGCCATTGTTGCACTACTACTACTGCTGCTGCCACTGCCACTATCGCTACCACTACCACTACCACCACTACTTCTACAATTATATTACTACTTCAGTTTGTTTTATTGCTCTCAGCCTCACCCCCTCTCATATAATATACTGGCTTCCTTCCCTTCATGCTTGTGTTTGACTAGTTAATGGTTCAAGTTGTATTGAAACTTCATAAATTTCATTCTCCTATGTGTGGGTTATTTGTGTATTATTCCAGTCATAGTATTGTGCCCTTTTAGTCCTTCATATTCAATAAGCTAGTATTAAATGACTTTTAAAAATATTTAAAATATGTTTTGGGTTAAAATACCATTTTCTGGAAAAATTTGGTTTTTATTCATTAGAGTTTATTGTGTCCAAATACCAAACTAAGGTTTCCAGGTATCTATGAAATTGGATTCCAAGATTTCAGCATTTCACTGTATTATGCAATGTTCTGTTTATGTTAATCATTCCATTTATGTGATGTACGTACTTTAGTCATATGTGATCAATGTGGTTAGCAAAGCTTTTTAAAAATTATTGTTTTGTGGACTTAAACATTTATGGTGTTTAATATAGCTGCCATGGTCCTAGAAGTCATATACAGCATAAAATGTAGGGATATGGTTGCTGTTGTTGCTGTGACTGAGGGAGTGTTGACCGTGATGCACTGTATGAATCTGCTTAGTTCTTTTTTTGCATGTGGCAGGTAAATCCTACAGATTACTACTTGCCTTCATTATCTCACTACTTTCCTGTATGCTTCTTAATAGTTCTTAATTCTGTAATATTTCCTTTTTCACCTAGAAGGCCTGGTCTGAGATCAAGCCATGGGGAAGATAATCCTCAAATCTACAAACAAATTACTAACAGAGGGTGCTGAAGGACCCAGACAACCGACCTTAGGCCTAAGATAGCAGCACCTTGTAAATTTGAAGGTACAAAAAGTTGGCACATTGCATATGTCGAGCACAGATGCTGTTTAAGGGTTAATCCATTCCATTGTTACACCCATCTGGATAAATTTTCTACTGTCCTTTATAATCATGTTGTTTCTTAATTTACTACTGTGACCTCTTGTTCTCTCTACGGAAGGTACCAATGAATCAGTTTTTTCATATCCTTTTATGACCTTACACTGCTTATCATTAAAGTATGCAGTGTGGAGGCTTACTTCGATGTTGAAAGTAAGTACCCTACTTTGTTAGGTGTTTCAGTGAAGCATAAAGTTATGCTGTCCTGGCAACTTGAAGCAGGATGTCTCAATATTCCCTAAGGCTACTGGCTGCATCCTAAGTGCCTTCCATGCTTGTGAGGTAGCTGTAGACAAATTAATATGGACTGGATTAAGTCACTGACACAGGAGGCAATTTCACAGATTATTCGATAACATGAGGCTGGCCATCAAATGAAGAAATAGTAGGAGCCATGTATGTGTGTGAACATCAGTAAGGACCTGGTTGGGTTGGTTCCTTGAGAATGGTGTTGATGATATGCCCACACCAAATGCATATCTAGGGAAGCCTAGAATAACATCCCACTAATGTTAACTATTATAACATACCTAGAATTACTTTGTGTTCATTTGCTTGAATTTTTCACACAGTACGATGCAAAGATTTTTACGCAAGAAAATGCTCTTTGCCACACTGCAAAATCTGTTGTTCATTGGCTTTGTGACTGTGAGGTACCCTTCTTTGGTGAATGACCAGGAAATTTCCCAGCCTTTAACCCCATTGAGAACCTCTGGACCCTGATAGATCTATTAGGGAAAAATCATCAGTCCACTCTTGTGGCTTTAGATACCATCTGCAAGTCGTGGGGAAATTTATCCCAGTGAAACCCTTAAGAATGTGGGTTAATCACTTCCTAGACAGTTGAAGGATGTCCTAGAATACAAAGGGATGGCCTATTTTGTTGTCATGGTTTGAGAGGGGGGGGCCTGGCATACTTTAACAACGAGTACTGTATGTGTGATTATCACGTCTTCTTTTTTTTCTTCTCTTAGGCTGGTGATGTCATTGCCTGAGGCAACACTGGTTAATGCACATTTTAACTTTCATTCATTATGTGTCTTATCAAGCATCAGTACACTGACCAGATGTAATATGCTGACCCTTAATAGAAATAGTGGATTATAAGTTGGAATTCCTTAACAATTATGAGATATAGCACAAACAGTACTTGAAACAACACACTTTTTATGGCCAAATACATATTGCATCTTGTACTACTACTACAACTACTACTACATATGTGCCTTAGTAAGCACCAGCATATAAATCACTGACACTGATTTATATCCTCGGTGGGATACGGCCAGTTTGTAGAAAGAAAAAAAACTTGAATAAAAAATTTTGACCCAAATTGAGAATTTCATGCATTTTTCTTGTGGATTAAAGTATTGAGGATAAGCAGATATTTGTTTGTTGTGCTCAATGTTCTCTTGTAATTCTTTTTCTTCAGAAGGAAGGAAGCAACCATGATGTTACCATTGTACTCTTTTCACGTACTTACTACAAGGCCACTACTATTGAAGATTTTCCTCAGTATATGAGAGAGTGTCTCCAGCAAGATTACAAAGGCAGATTTTATGAAGATTTCTACAGGTTAGAACCAAGAATTATCATCGTTATATTTTTAAGAGTGAGCCTTTGCTCAGAGTCCAGCCTCTTTATTTTTGAACATTTAACATGAAATAACTTTGTCATATCAATCTTTGAATACCTTCCACTGTACCATTATCTATTTCATTTAATTTCATTGATAGTTTGTTGAAAAAGTGTATTTGGATATCCTTGTAGCTTATTTAGGTGTGTAATTTCTAGCAGTTCTCTTTTGCTCTTGTTTGGATTTTGGATTATTTGGACTTCTTTCAGTTTCATTTTGTTTCACTAGGGAAGGTTCCATGCAGGTGCTACATACTCAAGAATGGGTGTTCTATATATCATTAAAGTATTTTGAATGCTATGGAGGGAGTAGTAGGTAAATTTGGGGTGCCAGGGGTAAATGTAAATGGGGAGCCTTTAATTGAGCTATGTGTAGAAAGAGATTTGGTAATAAGTAATACATATTTTATGAAAAAGAGGATAAAAGCAGGGGGGGATGTAGTGTTGGAGTGGTTGGTACTTTTGTTTAATAAATGTATGAAAGAGGGGAAGGTACCTAGGGATTGGCGGAGAGCATGTATAGTCCCTTTATATAAAGGGAAAGGGGACAAAAGAGATTGTAAAAATTATAGAGGAATAAGTTTATTGAGTATACCAGGAAAAGTGTACGGTAGGGTTATAATTGAAAGAATTAGAGGCAAGACAGAATGTAGGATTGCGGATGAGCAAGGAGGTTTCAGAGTGGGTAGGGGATGTGTAGATCAAGTGTTTACATTGAAGCATATATGTGAACAGTATTTAGATAAAGGTAGGGAAGTTTTTATTGCATTTATGGATTTGGAAAAGGCATATGATAGAGTGGATAGAGGAGCAATGGGCAGATGTTGCAAGTATATGGAATAGGTGGTAAGTTACTAAATGCTGTAAAGAGTTTTTTGGGGATAGTGAGGCTCAGGTTAAGGTGTGTAGAAGAGAGGGAGACTACTTCCCGGTAAAAGTAGGTCTTAGACAGGGATGTGTAATGTCACCATGGTTGTTTAATATATTTATAGATGGGGTTGTAAAGGAAGTAAATGCTAGGGTGTTCGGGAGAGGGGGTGGGATTAAATTATGGGGAATCAAATTCAAAATGGAATTGACACAGTTACTTTTTACTGATGATACTGTGCTTATGGGAGATTCTAAAGAAAAATTGCAAAGGTTAGTGGATGAGTTTGGGAATGTGTGTAAAGGTAGAAAGTTGAAAGTGAACATAGAAAAGAGTAAGGTGATGAGGGTATCAAATGATTTAGATAAAGAAAAATTGGATATCAAATTGGGGAGAGGAGTATGGAAGAAGTGAATGTTTTCAGATACTTGGGAGTTGACATGTCGGCGGATGGATTTATGAAGGATGAGGTTAATCATAGAATTGATGAGGGAAAAAAGGTGAGTGGTGCATTGAGGTATATGTGGAGTCAAAAAATGTTATCTATGGAGGCAAAGAAGGGAATGTATGAAAGTATAGTAGTACCAACACTCTTATATGGGTGTGAAGCTTGGGGGGTAAATGCAGCAGCGAGGAGACGGTTTGAGGCAGTGGAGATGTCCTGTCTAAGGGCAATGTGTGGTGTAAATATTATGCAGAAAATTCGGAGTGTGGAAATTAGGAAAAGGTGTGGAGTTAATAAAAGTATTAGTCAGAGGGCAGAAGAGGGGTTGTTGAGGTGGTTTGGTCATTTAGAGAGAATGGATCAAAGTAGAATGACATGGAAAGCATATAAATCTATAGGGGAAGGAAGGCGACGTAGGGGTCGTCCTCGAAAGGGTTGGAGAAAGGGGGTAAAGGAGGTTTTGTGGGCAAGGGGCTTGGACTTCCAGCAAGCGTGCGTGAGCGTGTTAGATAGGAGTGAATGGAGACGAATGGTACTTGGGACCTGACGATCTGTTGGAGTGTGAGCAGGGTAATATTTAGTGAAGGGATTCAGGGAAACCGGTTATTTTCATATAGTCGGACTTGAGTCCTGGAAATGGGAAGTACAATGCCTGCACTTTAAAGGAGGGGTTTGGGATATTGGCAGTTTGGAGGGATATGTTGTGTATCTTTATACGTATATGCTTCTAAACTGTTGTATTCTGAGTACCTCTGCAAAAACAGTGATTATGTGTGAGTGTGGTGAAAGTGTTGAATGATGATGAAAGCATTTTCTTTTTGGGGATTTTCTTTCTTTTTTGGGTCACCCTGCCTTGGTGGGAGACGGCCGACTTGTTGAAAAAAAAAATATATATATATACAAGGTGTGATGTAGCACGTAATGAAAGTAGTTTATTAGATTATGTATTGGTGGATAAAAGGTTGATGGGTAGGCTCCAGGATGTACATGTTTATAGAGGGGCAACTGATATATCGGATCATTATTTAGTTGTAGCTACAGTTAGAGTAAGACTTAGATGGGAAAAGAGGAAGGTGGCAACAACAAGTAAGAGGGAGGTGAAAGTGTATAAACTAAGGGAGGAGGAAGTTCGGGTGAGATATAAGCGACTATTGGCAGAAAGGTGGGCTAGTGCAAAGATGAGTAGTGGGGGGGTTGAAGAGGATTGGAATAGTTTTAAAAATACAGTATTAGAATGTGGGGCAGAAGTTTGTGGTTATAGAAGGGTGGGGGCAGGAGGAAAGAGGAGTGATTGGTGGAATGATGAAGTAAAGGGTGTGATAAAAGAGAAAAAGGTAGCTTATGAGAGGTTTTTACAAAGCAGAAGTGTTATAAGAAGAGCAGAGTATATGGAGAGTAAAAGAAAGGTAAAGAGAGTGGTGAGAGAGTGCAAAAGGAGAGCAGATGATAGAGTGGGAGAGGCACTGTCAAGAAATTTTAATAAAAATAAGAAAATTTTGGAGTGAGTTAAACAAGTTAAGAAAGCCTAGGGAAAGTATGGATTTGTCAGTTAAGAACAGAGTAGGGGAGTTAGTAGATGGGGAGATGGAGGTATTAGGTAGATGGCGAGAATATTTTGAGGAACTTTTAAATGTTAAGTAAGAAAGAGAGGCAGTAATTTCATGCACCGGTCAGGGAGGTATACCATCTTTTAGGAGTGAAGAAGAGCAGAATGTAAGTGTGGGGGAGGTATGTGAAGCATTACGTAGAATGAAAGGGGGTAAAGCAGCTGGAACTGATGGGATCATGACAGAAATGTTAAAAGCAGGGGGGATATAGTGTTGGAGTGGTTGGTACTTTTGTTTAATAAATGTATGAAAGAGGGGAAGGTACCTAGGGATTGGCGGAGAGCATGTATAGTCCCTTTATATAAAGGGAAAGGGGACAAAAGAGACTGTAAAAATTATAGAGGAATAAGTTTACTGAGTATACCAGGAAAAGTGTACGGTAGGGTTATAATTGAAAGAATTAGAGGTAAGACAGAATGTAGGATTGCGGAGTGTTGAATGATGATGAAAGTATTTTCTTTTTGGGGATTTTCTTTCTTTTTTGGGTCACCCTGCCTCGGTGGGAGACGGCTGACTTGTTGAAAAAAAAAAAAAAATTGAATGCATTTCTTATCTAGATTTCTGTATACCATTTTCATATTTATAACATTTGATCGTGATGTTGTTGTTCTTGCACTCACTTCAGGGGACCTAGGGATGAAGAACCACTGGTCTAGACAGTGTTTATTATATCCAAATAAACATCCTGGTATTCATTATTGCTAAATTATTGTTTTTATCTTTTGTATGTTAATGCAAATGTAAATAATTTTGAAATTGAAGTTACACTCTGAGTTAAGACTGCCTTAGTTGTAGAAATTTTGTAAATTATTATTATATTTTTTTTATTATCACACTGGCCGATTCCCACCAAGGCAGGGTGGCCCGAAAAAGAAAACCTTTCACCATCATTCACTCCATCACTGTCTTGCCAGAAGGGTGCTTTACACTACAGTTTTTAAACTGCAACATTAACACCCCTCCTTCAGAGTGCAGGCACTGTACTTCCCATCTCCAGGACTCAAGTCCGGCCTGCCGGTTTCCCTGAACCCCTTCATAAATGTTACTTTGCTCACACTCCAACAGCACGTCAAGTATTAAAAACCATTCGTCTCCATTCACTCCTATCAAACACGCTCACGCACGCCTGCTGGAAGTCCAAGCCCCTCGCACACAAAACCTCCTTTACCCCCTCCCTCCAACCTTTCCTAGGCCGACCCCTACCCCGCCTTCCTTCCACTACAGATTGATACACTCTTGAAGTCATTCTGTTTCGCTCCATTCTCTCTACATGTCCGAACCACCTCAACAACCCTTCGTCAGCCCTCTGGACAACAGTTTTGGTAATCCCGCACCTCCTCCTAACTTCCAAACTACGAATTCTCTGCATTATATTCACACCACACATTGCCCTCAGACATGACATCTCCACTGCCTCCAGCCTTCTCCTCGCTGCAACATTCATCACCCATGCTTCACACCCATATAAGAGTGTTGGTAGAACTATACTCTCATACATTCCCCTCTTTGCCTCCAAGGACAAAGTTCTTTGTCTCCACAGACTCCTAAGTGCACCACTCACCCTTTTCCCCTCATCAATTCTATGATTCACCTCATCCTTCATAGACCCATCCGCTGACACGTCCACTCCCAAATATCTGAATACATTCACCTCCTCCATACTCTCTCCCTCCGATCTGATATCCAATCTTTCATCACCTAATATTTTTGTTATCCTCATAACCTTACTCTTTCCTGTATTCACTTTTAATTTTCTTCTTTTGCACACCCTACCAAATTCATCCACCAATCTCTGCAACTTCTCTTCAGATTCTGAAGAGATTTTGTAAATATTCTGACTAAAATAATTGAACATGAATAGTGTAGAAATAAGGAGATCTAAAATATTTCAATCATCCAGAATTGGATTTATTTGTTTTTTCAGTGAAAGACTCCAGTCTGAATGGAAAAAAGGAAAATAGAAAATATGTCATAGGTTAGCTGGATTTGAGTCCTGGAGGTGGAAAAGGCATTGTCTGCACTTTGAAGAAGGGGTTGGCATGTTGCAGTAGGAGGGGTAATACAAATTGTGATGCCAGCACACTTCTGGCAAGACAGCAATTGAATGAATGATGGTGAATGTGTTTCCTCTTTGGGTCATGCTGCCAAGTGAGTGTGAAACAGAAGCCTGTAACTTTTTTACATGATGGTAGGATTGCTGGTGTCTTTTTTTCTGTCTCGTAAACATGAAAGATTTCAGGTACGTCTTGCTACTTCTACTTTCACTTAGGTCACACTGCACATGCATAGACAAGCATATATATACATGTATATACACATGCCCCTCTGGATTTTCTTCTATTTCCTGACTAGTTCTTGTTCTTGTTTATTTCCTCGTTTATTGCCTCGGTGGGATATGGCCGGTTTGTTGAAAGAAAGAAAGATCTCCATGGGGAAGTGGAACAGAATTCTTCCTCCATAAGCCATGTGTGTCATAAGAAATGACTAAAATGCCAGGAGCAAGGAGCTAGTAACCCCTTCTCTTGTATACATTACTACATTTAAAAATAGAAAGTTTTGTTTTTCTTCATGGGCCACCCTGATTCAGTGGGATATGGCCGGTTTGTTGAAAGAAGAACTTTCCTTTTTACTTTTGGGCCACCCTGCCTTGGTGGGATATGGCTGGTTTGTTGAAAGAAGAAGAAGAAAGAACATTGAGGATTTAGAAGTGTAAAAGTCATATTTCTTTTCAAAGAAATTGTATTTGAAATTATGGAAATGGGTCTTCAAGAAATATGTATGGAATTGTTGGTTGCAGGAAAAGACTATTGCAAGAAACTAAAGAACTGGTGAAAGGTTGTTGATCCGAGGAATTGAAGCTATCCTATTTTTCCTTGCATTAAAAATGATTACCTCCCATTCCTCAGGCGATGCATGACCCTTAAAAGTTTATATGTTTGCTGTGAGCATATGATAGTAATACATAAATTCCTCCCATATAAATTCTAGTTATGTAGAATTTTTTTTATGCTTGTTATTATTATTGTCTGTTTTGACAGGGTTGCTGTGCAGAATGAGCGGTATGATGACTGGTCTACAACATTAACTCGTCTACGTCGCATGTTCAACAACTACTTGCCAACTGTGTTAGACTACCACCGAAATCTGGGCTCTGATGTGCCAGAAGCAACAAATTCTTGTGCATCACAAGGAAATTTTCTAGAGGTCCTTAACATTTCTCTTAATGGTAAATTACATTATTTTTTAATACATACATTGTCTATCTCCAGCCAAGGTAGGGCAACTCAGAAAAGAAAATGTTTTCACCATTCAATGAATAGCTTTCTTGCCAGAAGTGCACAGATGTCAAAAGTCAAATGACCCTCTAAATTGCCACATCCCCTCTTATAAAATAATAATAACCTTTCTGTGTAAAATAGCTGTGATGCATCAGTAGGAAGGAGAAGAGTGAGAGTGAATGCTAACCAAAGCCAACAAGAATTAATGACAGGAGGTGAAAACAGAGAGCAAAGTGAGAATGTGTACTTAAAGTGGAAAGGAGATCAAAGGGCAAAATCATTTGTCTCCTTATTTAATTAATCATCTGTAGCCTTGTAGAATGCTGTACAGTCACTGTGGTAGGTCTTCTTTTTTGACACAATCTTTTATGTTTTTTTTTTTTAACATGCTGGCCCACTCCCACCGAGGCAGGGTGGCCCCAAAAAAATAAAAAAGACTTTTACCATCATTCAACACTTTCACCATCATTCACACACAGAGGGAATAATCTTTAAGAATGTTGTGTGTGTTCATTTGCTTGTACCTAGAGGGCATAGACCTGCCTACCTCAGTCAGGCTGATGGAACTTGCTAGAAGATGCATTATTGAGGTACTGGTTGTTGTTAACTAATTTTGTTTCCTAGTGCTTCTTGTGTTAGTCTCACACTGCAAAAATGCAGTGCACATAAAGGGCCTGAAGATCTGTAATTCACTACCTGAACCAGTTAAGGATCCCATGACAACAATACAAATTTGGGGCTATCTTCTCATCTCTCAATACTAACCAAACCAAACCAAACAACATTTAACCAGTTTGAAGCAATTCTCCTAAATATTATATGACCTCAAGTCTATTAAAACATCTGCCAATCTATGAAATATTAATGTTTGAACCATTAATTGTAATATTATTTTCATTATGTGCAACTTCAAGATTATTATTCTTATAAACCTCTACCTTGACTACCTCGCATTAATATTAAGATAAAATAAAGATTTATTAAAAAGTTAACCACTCTTTTCTCATATAGACTTAATTAATTATTATGTGTTAGGATAAGTCTCCCCGAAATGCCCCAGCATGATAATGGCTTTCTTTGTACCTAACAAATCAAAATTGTAAATACACATTGTAACCTTTGCAAAGAAATGAAATCTTTATCTTTTATCTTTTTTGTTGTTTAGCAAAATTTCTTTATCTTTACTATTGTTCTCTGGGGATTAGGTTAAACACATCATCAATTCTCTTTGCCTGTATTATCCTTCTTGCCAACAAATTTTTCTCCTACCAAGAGGTAGATGTCTGGCTACTCTTTCTAGTATTAAGTCTCATTTTGCTCTGATGAGGCATTAATAAAAATTGAGAAATAACATTTTCCTAATTTGTTTATAGTTCCCACAGATCATTACACCATCAAGAAAGAGCATAAAACTTGCTGCTGCAGCAGGTGTAACTTCTCCTGAAATTACATAACAAAATACTCTGCCATTTCCCATTTACATCTAGAAACTATAATAAAGCTTTATTCAGTACAATCCTTAATTCTAACAACTGTTGTGAATATGGTTTATGTTTACTTGTCTGTCTTTACAAAATTTTTTGCTTTTATTCTTTTATTCATATTTTGCAGTATTTGAGAAGCACTATCTGGATCGAAGTTTCGATCGCACAGGTCAAGTGTCTGTGGTAGTAACTCCAGGTGTTGGAGTTTTTGAGGTGGATCGTGAACTGACAAATATCACCAAGCAGCGCATCATTGACAATGGTGTTGGGTCAGATCTGGTGTGTGTGGGTGAACAGCCACTTCATGCTGTTCCACTTCTTAAGGTAGTTCTGTGGATGCTTACAGTGAATGTATTGATGTATTTTTGAGGAATAATACATATGTGACACATGGGTTTCTTTGTTGGAGATATGTTTTGTCTGCACAGCATGCTCTTTTTTTTTTTTAAATTTAATAGAGAGGTCATGATAATGGAAATGTGCATAATAGAATCAATTGTATACAGTGTTGCAGACAGGTGAGATTCATATCTACAACTGAAGCATCTCTATAACTAATTTTTTTTTGTCACAGTTCCATAACAAGAAGGGAAGTATAAATGCCGATGACTACAGCATGCCTCACACCTGGATCAACCTTAGTTTTTACTCTGCTAAGAAGAAAGTTGGTTATGGCACTTTTGTTCCACGGATTAAGCTTCCCCCAGAAAAGCTCAAAACTGTGAAGAGAGAAAAATTTGATGCTTTGAGCAAACCTTGTATGAAACCAGTGCAAGAAACTGCTTTGCCAAATTCTATTTTTGATTATGACGCTTATGATGCTCAGGTGTTCAAGTTACCAACAAACCAAAATAACAAGTATGTGCTATATATTTTGACTTCATGTAGTATATTTTCTATATTTTAATATTTATAAGTTAATGCATTATCTTGTCATTTTGTAATGAAATTAATTTTAGATGTTTATTTTAACATCTACTGAAGCTTGTCCTGACATTTAATGCTAACACTTGGTTTTCGTTAGTGGCTTTACAGTTTGTAGTCCTTGCAGCCCAGCCTCAGAGCATGTCTTCTAAATTGTGAAGAAAATGTTTTAGGAATAAGAATTATTCAAATAATATAGGAAAATAATAATATTTTTTTTTACTGAATGTATGTAGTAGTTTGGAAGAGTTACCTGTCATCTTCCATTTTCATGAGACAGAAAGTAAAGGCAAAATATTTTATAAATAAAATATAAAATATGACAGGTAAACAACTATAATTTTATTTTACTATTTATTGTCTTTTCATTACAGTGCACTTACATTTGTTCTTTAGGGTCCTTTTTGTTTTTGTAACACATTGACCATCACCTACCTAGGTAGGGTGACCCAAAAAAAGAAATACTTTCGACATAATTCCCTCCATCACTGTCCTACTGGAGGTGCACCAGTACCACAATTCAGATGCCCCCAAACTGCAAATATCCCCACCCCTTCTTCAGAGTGCAGACATTGCACCTCCCACCTCCAGGATTTTAGTCCTGCCAACTGGTTTTCCCTAAATCCCTTCACAAAATGTTACCTTGTTCACACTCCAACAGTTTGTCGAGTCCCAAAAACCATTTGTTTCCACTCCTATCTAATGCACTCATATGCACCTGCTGGATAAATGACAGTAAGTGTGTTTTCTCCTTTTTTTTTTATTTGGGGGGGTGGGGGTCATCCTCTCTATGAGAGAAGGCTGGTGTATTAAGAGAGTCAACAAAGAGTTAAGAAAGCCTAGAGAACAAATGGATTTGTCAGTTAAAAATAGGAGAGGAGAGTTATTAAATGGAGAGTTAGAGGTATTGGGAAGATGGAGGGAATATTTTGAGGAATTGTTAAATGTTGATGAAGATAGGGAAGCTGTGATTTCGTGTATAGGACAAGGAGGAATAACATCTTGTAGGAGTGAGGAAGAGCCAGTTGTGAGTGTGGGGGAAGTTCGTGAGGCAGTAGGTAAAATGAAAGGGGGTAAGGCAGCCGGGATTGATGGGATAAAGATAGAAATGTTAAAAGCAGGTGGGGATATAGTTTTGGAGTGGTTGGTGCAATTATTTAATAAATGTATGGAAGAGGGTAAGGTACCTAGGGATTGGCAGAGAGCATGCATAGTTCCTTTGTATAAAGGCAAAGGGGATAAAAGAGAGTGCAAAAATTATAGGGGGATAAGTCTGCTGAGTAAAACCTGGTAAAGTGTATGGGAGAGTTATTATTGAAAGAATTAAAAGTAAGACGGAGAATAGGATAGCAGATGAACAAGGAGGCTTTAGGAAAGGTAGGGGGGGTGTGGACCAGGTGTTTACAGTGAAACATATAAGTGAACAGTATTTAGATAAGGCTAAAGAGGTCTTTGTGGCATTTATGGATTTGGAAAAGGCGTATGACAGGGTGGATAGGGGGGCAATGTGGCAGATGTTGCAAGTGTATGGTGTAGGAGGTAGGTTACTGAAAGCAGTGAAGAGTTTTTACGAGGATAGTGAGGCTCAAGTTAGAGTATGTAGGAAAGAGGGAATTTTTTTTTCCCCGTAAAAGTAGGCCTTTGACAAGGATGTGTGATGTCACCATGGTTGTTTAATATATTTATAGATGGGGTTGTAAGAGAAGTAAATGCGAGGGTCTTGGCAAGAGGTGTGGAGTTAAAAGATAAAGAATCACACACAAAGTGGGAGTTGTCACAGCTGCTCTTTGCTGATGACACTGTGCTCTTGGGAGATTCTGAAGAGAAGTTGCAGAAATTGGTGGATGAATTTGGTAGGGTGTGCAAAAGAAGAAAATTAAAGGCGAATACAGGAAAGAGTAAGGTTATGAGGATAACAAAAAGATTAGGTGATGAAAGATTGAATATCAGATTGGAGGGAGAGAGTATGGAGGAGGTGAATGTATTCAGATATTTGGGAGTGGACGTGTCAGCGGATGGGTCTATGAAAGATGAGGTGAATCATAGAATTGATGGGGGGAAAAGAGTGAGTGGTGCACTTAGGAGTCTTTGGAGACAAAGAAACTTTGTCCTTGGAGGCAAAGAGGGGAATTATGAGAGTATAGTTTTACCAACGCTCTTATATGGGTGTGAAGCATGGGTGATGAATGTTGCAGCGAGGAGAAGGCTGGAGGCAATGGAGATGTCATGTCTGAGGGCAATGTGTAGTGTGAATATAATGCAGAGAATTCGTAGTTTGGAAGTTAGGAGGAGGTGCGGGATTACCAAAACTGTTGTCCAGAGGGCTGAGGAAGGGTTGTTGAGGTGGTTCGGGCATGTAAGAGAATGGAGCGAAACAGAATGACTTCAAGAGTGTATCAGTCTGTAGTGGAAGGAAGGCGGGGTAGGGGTCGGCCTAGAAAGGTTGGAGAGAGGGGGTAAAGGAGGTTTTGTGTGCGAGGGGCTTGGACTTCCAGCAGGCATGCGTGAGCGTGTTTGATAGGAGTGAATGGAGACAAATGGTTTTTAATACTTGACGTGCTGTTGGAGTGTGAGCAAAGTAACATTTATGAAGGGGTTCAGGGAAACCGGCAGGCCGGACTTGAGTCCTGGAGATGGGAAGTACAGTGCCTGCACTCTGAAGGAGGGGTGTTAATGTTGCAGTTTAAAAACTGTAGTGTAAAGCACCCTTCTGGCAAGACAGTGATGGAGTGAATGATGGTGAAAGTTTTTCTTTTTCGGGCCACCCTGCCTTGGTGGGAATCGGCCAGTGTGATAATAATAATAAAAAAAACAAAGAGTAAGTAAATTTTACACATTTCTTATCACATTCAGTATACATTCATCTTCCCTTTCCTGTGTGCTTCTTAAGTAGTTCTTATTCTTGTAAAGCTGTATTTTTCAGTTAAGCAGGTTTGGGCTGAGACAGGGTATTATGTAGGATACTCCATTGCTGTAATAAATTTGTAATGTGGAATGTTTGTAGCGTAGTGAAGGTCCATTAAAATAGTGTCAGTGCTTAAGTGGATGCGAATTGAGCAGCCGGTGGACAGGCAGTGGGACACACAATAGACATGAACATTGGGAGAGCTGTGTGGGTTAGTGTGACTAGTCACACTGACTACAGTACACTACAAACATTTCACATTGCAAATTTATTACAATGCAGTATCCTGCATAAGACAGGACTATAAGGGTGATACTTCCTGAGCCTATTAACAAATATAATTGATAAGAGAAAAGGAAGCAATAAAAAATTTGTTATGAACTTGACAAAATAGCTGAGTGAGAAATCAAGAGAATTAATCAAGAATTGATTATGTTTTTACTACAGGACTTATCGGAGCTTACAGAGAACAACTACAAGAAAGAAGAATAATAATCAGTCATCTTCTGTCCAGCCTCTGACAAGAATCACCTTTCAACGGAAGCTCTCCGACCCTGATCTCTATAACAGCATTGAGCAGGTGAACATATACTCAGAAGACAGTACAAAGACACTTCATATTGTCTGCCTCTCTGTGTGTAATTTCCCTTCTTTCATATATACTGTACATTAAATGCTCTTCATTAGGGTGCCTTGATGGCAGTGAAGGGCTCTTGATCTAGGTAATTGAAGGTGCCATGTTCTTAATCGGATCTAACCTCATTAATATCCAACCTTCCCATTACTAAGATTCTGTATAACCCTAATGGGTTTTATGATTCTGCATGAATATTATTATTATTATTATTATTATTATTATTATTATTATTCTTTTCTTTCAACGTACCAGCCGTATCCCACTGAGGTGGGGTGGCCCAAAAGAAAAAACTGAAGTTTCTCCTTTTAAATTTAGTAATATATACAGGAGAAGGGGTTACTAGCCCCTTGCTCCCGGCATTTTAGTCGCCTCTTACAACACGCATGGCTTACAGAGGAAGAATTCTGTTCCACTTCCCCATGGAGATAAGAGGAAATAAACAAGAACAAGAATTAGAAAGAAAATAGAAGAAAACCCAGAGGGGTGTGTATATATATGCTTGTACATGTATGTTTAGTGTGACCTAAGTGTAATCATGGTAATGAATATGATATTGTGTATATGGACTTCAGTAAGGCTTTTGACAGGGTCCCACATCAGAGACTATTGAGGAAAATTAAAGCACATGGAATAGGAGGAGAAATTTTTTCCTGGATAGAGGCATGGTTGACAAATAGGCAGCAGAGAGTTTGCATAAATGGGGAGAAATCAGAGTGGGGAAGTGTCACGAGCGGTGTTCCACAGGGGTCAGTGTTGGGCCCCCTGCTGTTCACAATCTACATAAACGACATAGATGAGGGCATAAAGAGCGACATCGGCAAGTTTGCCGATGACACCAAAATAGGCCGTCGAATTCATTCTGACGAGGACATTCGAGCACTCCAGGAAGATTTGAATAGACTGATGCAGTGGTCGGAGAAGTGGCAGATGCAGTTTAATATAGACAAATGCAAAGTTCTAAATGTTGGACAGGACAATAACCATGCCACATATAAAACTAAATAATGTAGATCTTAATATTACGGATTGCGAAAAAGATTTAGGAGTTCTGGTTAGCAGTAATCTGAAACCAAGACAACAGTGCATAAGTGTTCGCAATAAAGCTAATAGAATCCTTGGCTTCATATCAAGAAGCATAAATAATAGGAGTCCTCAGGTTGTTCTTCAACTCTATACATCCTTGGTTAGGCCTCATTTAGATTATGCTGCACAGTTTTGGTCACCTTATTACAGAATGGATATAAATTCTCTGGAAAATGTACAAAGGAGGATGACAAAGTTGATCCCATGTATCAGAAACCTTCCCTATGAGGATAGACTAAGGGCCCTGAATCTGCACTCTCTAGAAAGACGTAGAATTAGGGGGGATATGATTGAGGTGTATAAATGGAAGACAGGAATAAATAAAGGGGATGTAAATAGTGTGCTGAAAATATCTAACCTAGACAGGACTTGCAGCAATGGTTTTAAGTTGGAAAAATTCAGATTCAGGAAGGATATAGGAAAGTACTGGTTTGGTAATAGAGTTGTGGATGAGTGGAACAAACTCCCAAGTACCGTTATAGAGGCCAGAACGTTGTGTAGCTTTAAAAATAGGTTGGATAAATACATGACTGGATGTGGGTGGGTGTGAGTTAGACCTGATAGCTTGTGCTACCAGGTCGGTTGCCGTGTTCCTCCCTTAAGTCAATGTGACCTGACCTGACTAGGTTGGGTGCATTGGCTTGGGCCGGTAGGAGACTTGGACCTGCCTCGCATGGGCCAGTAGGCCTTCTGCAGTGTTCCTTCGTTCTTATGTTCTTATGTTCTTAAGTAGAAGTAGCAAGACTTACCTGTAATCTTGCATATTTATGAGACAGACAAAAGACACCAGCAATCCTACCATCATGTAAAACAATTACAGGCTTTCGTTTTACACTCACTTGGCAGGACGGTAGTACCTCCCTGGGCGGTTGCTGTCTACCAACCTACTACCTAGGATTATTATTATTATTATTATTATTATTATTATTATTATTATTTTCTTTTCTTTATATGATAACACATCATTTGTTTCCCACCAAGGCAGGGTGATCTGAAAAAGAAGAATCTCACCAAGGTAGGGTGATCCAAAAAAGAAGAAACACTTTCATCATTCATTCCATCACTGTCTTGCCAAAGGCATGCCTACACTACAGTTAAAAAACTGCAACATATCAACACCCCTCCTTCGGAGTGCAGGCACTGTACTTCCCACCTCCAGGACTCAAGCCCAGCTAACTGGTTTCCCTGAATCCCTTCATAAATGTTACTTTGCTCACACACTAACAGCATGTCATCATAAAAACCATTCATCTCCACACACTACTATCCAGCATGCTCATGCATGCTTGCTGGAAGTCCAAGTTGCCAAAAAACCCACTTTTAATCCCCCCCCCAACCTTTCCAGGATCCCCCTACCCCTTTCTTAAAAATTTTAAAAACCCCCCCGTTTTTCATTTGTTCCACCTCCAAAAGCCCAACCAAAATCAACCCTTTCCTTTTCTCAAAAAAATTTTTAAAACCCCACCCCCCCTTCCCCAAACTATTTTCCTGTTTTCATTCCCTAAACCCCCAGACTCCCACCCCACTTTTTACCCCTTTCTCCTTTTTTGGCCCTACCCCCTCCTTCCACCCCTTTTTCCCTCCAAATTCAAAGTTCACCTCATCCATAACCCTTCTGCTGAAAAAAAAGCCCTTCCCCCAAATTCAAACTTATTCCTTTTACTCCCTCCCCCCCCCAAATCAATACCCAAATCTTTTCCAAAATTTTTTTTGTTTAACCCTTCCCTTTCCTTTCCATTTCATTTTTATTTACTTCTTTCATACCCCTTCCAAAATTTTTCCCCAAAAACCCTGTACTTTTTTTCAAATCCCCCTCAAAAACAATTATCAAAAAATTTTTTTATTTTTTTTTTTTTTTTAACAATCCCCCTCTTCCCCACCGAGGGGGGGACCCAAAAAAAAAAAAAAAAAAAATTATTATTTTTTAATTATTATTTTTTTATTATTATTATTATTATTATTTTTATTATTATTATTGACATTTGTTAGAGTCTGACAAGAAAACATTTATAAGGGATTCGGGGAAAATATTATCGGGATTTGAACCGGAAGGGGGAAGACATCCCTTCCCTCTAAAGGGAGGGGGGATATTTACATTTTTGGAAGAATTTCTGAACTGTGGTATTGGCATGCCCGGGCAAGACAGTGAAAAAATAGTGATGGTGAAAGTTTTTCCTCTTTTAATTTTTTTGGTCACCCCCCTTGGGGGCAACAGTGGTTTTTTACGTATAATAAATCTTTTTACTTTCAACAAACCGGTATACCCCACCGAGGCAGGGAAACCCCAAAAAGAAAAAAAAGATTTCTTTTTTAAAAATTTTATAATGTATACGTAAAAGGGGTTTTACTAGCTCCTTCTCCCATTATTATTATTATTGTTATTATTTTTTTTGACACTGGCTGTATCTCACCGAGGCAGGCTGACCTAAAAAGAAAAACGAAAGTTTTTTCTTTTTAATTTTAGTAGCAACACCTCCGGGGCATTGAAGTCTCTCATTATTATTATATTCTCTTTATTAATATTGTTGTTGTTGTAGTTTAAGCTAGTTTTTAATAAGATTTCAAAAACCATTTTTCACATTTGCTTTCAGCATCTTGAACTTGTTCCCATCAATCCCTCCTGCTTTACCTTTATAACTGTGTGTCGTTGCAGATATCCAGCTCGATGGTTGCACTGGGAAACTCTGTAACCTCTGATTTACAAGTCCCAGCTATCAACATTCCCGCACGCATTTCAGAAAATAAAACTTACCCACTTCATTTTGGTGCTCTTAATGTTGAAGGTTTGCAATATATTACATATTTAATTCTTAATCATTTATTTAATTGTTATTACTCTGTAATCACTTGAGACCGATGTAGAGATGTGACCTGACTGACTATCAGTCAATGATGCAAGCGCCTACCAACCCTTTCAATGAAGGGAATAAACACTTTTTAACTTTTGCTGATTTCTTACTTTCAAGGGGGGGGCCTTGATTTTTATAAATGCACATGATTCAAGGGCTTGGGGATACTGTTCCTTTCCTGTGGCCTGAACCGATTTTCTTCTATTTCCCACCACTGTTTGGGTCTTAAAGGATTCAAAGCTTCTCTTTAACCCCTTTTAGGGGCCGCCCTAGTCTACGCTTTAAAGGGGAGTGTCCAAACCGAGATCTTCGCCCTGAGCTCAGCTCACTCTGATAAACTTAGTGGGACATTTGGGGCCCAGATAGAGAGAATACATCAAAGTGGTATGTGTGCACCACATAAAACAGATCCCGCAGCACACTGGTTAATGAAGAAAAAAAAGAAAAACATGATTTTTCGATTAAAACAGCGATTTGCAGTGTTTTTTTCGTAGTTTTTTATGTTGTATTTGCGATTTTTGGTTCATTGATAGAAGGAAACATGTTTCAGAAAAGAGATATTTTGATGGTTTTTTCACTGGAAATGGCTTAAACTGAGCTCAAGTGCGAAATGTTAAATTTTTGCCGATATTCAAGAGTAAAAAAAACGACCTCACACATCAATACACGTCAGCTGGTGGGGGCAATATACATTCACAAAAATTTTGATGATATTTTTACAATTTTTTACAGTATTGCATAAAAGTAAACTTTTTTTTTGGGGTGAATAAAAAATTCATTATGTGAATAAAAAATCAAAATGGAAAATTTTTTGTAAAGCCCAAAAATAACAAAAGAACAGAAAATGTTGTTTTGTTCCAGGAATACCCACATTTTTTATTCTGGGGCCTATTTTGAAATTGGAATATTTTGAACTTTGTGTTAAATTGGCCAAATTAACAATTTCCGATGACTTTATTTTGTAGTTGAAACAGTTGATTTGGCGATTTCTTGTGCTCAATCGATAGAATAGAAGTAATACTAGTGAAATAGCTAAGAATTTGGTTGATTGGAATAATGTAATTGGCCTAAAATGGGAGTCAAAGTCGGCAAAATCGCCGACTCGTAAATATCGCTGACACATCAAAATTCGTGAGAGCATAATTTCGTCAATTTTCCACCAAATTTCGTACTTTTTGTTTTATTACCTTCACAAAAAGATTCTCTACGATTTCATAAGAAAAAATAAAAATTTTTTTTTTTGAAAATTCTTGGACACTGGTGCGTGACTTCAGATTTTGGCCTTGGACCCTGAAAGGGTTAAATGTACTAAGAATCTGCATATTCTTCTGTCTATAGATATCTTTTTAATGGGTCTCAGCAAATGTAAATTTAAATACAGTGGACCCTTGGGTAACGACATTAATCCATTCCAGAGAGCTTGCCTTTAACCGATTTTGCCGTTAGCCAAATTAATTTTCCCAATAAGAATTAATGGAAATCCAATTAATCCGTTTCAGACAGCCAAAAGTATTAACAAAAAATATTTTTTTTTAAAGATTAAATATACATATACATACAGAAAACAATGACAAATAAATATAAAGTGCTAATAAAATGAATAAATGAACATTTAACATCATACTTACCTTTACTGAAGACTTTTGTTGGTGTATGGCAGACAGGTAGGAGGGAAGAGGGAGGCGAGTTTATTATGCTTCAATATGACGCTAATATCATTATTTATCTATCACAATTCATCTAATATGACATAATAAACAATATTAATAACATAGAAACATGCTGTATACTTTAGAATGAATAAAATATGTCAATGTATGAGAGGAGTAAGTGGTGGAAGTGTTGTTGGGTTTATAAGGGCCACTGAGAGAAGCTGTATATAGTGGTACTGGAGGCACCAGTAGAACCCACCAACACTATCACACTTAAACAATGTATGTTAATTTATAAATAAGAAATATTTACATTTTAATTTATAAATAAGTAAGTAAGTTTATTCAGGTATACACAAATACAGTTACATAGATTATCATCTATAGCAGCATACCTGGAGTTTACCTGGAGAGAGTTCCGGGGGTCAACGCCCCCGCGGCCCGGTCTGTGACCAGGCCTCATGGTGGATCAGCGCCTGATCAACCAGGCTGTTACTGCTGGCTGCACGCAGTCCAATGTACGAGCCACAGCCCAGCTGGCCAGGTACCGACTTTAGGTACTTGTCCAGTGCCTGCTTGAAGACAGCCAGGGGTCTATTGGTAATCCCCCTAATGTATGCTGGGAGGCAGTTGAACAGTCTCGGGCCCCTGACACTTATTGTATTGTCTCTTGACGTGCTAGTGACACCCCTGCTTTTCATTTGGGGGATGTTGCATCGTCTGCCGAGTCTTTTGCTTTCATTGTGAGGGATTTTCGTGTGCAAGTTTGGTACTAGTCCCTCTAGGATTTTCCAGGTGCATATAATCATGTATCTCTCCCGCCTGCGTTCCAGGGAGTACAGGTTCAGGAACTTCAAGCGCTCCCAGTAATTGAGGTGTTTTATCTCTGTTATGCGTTCCGTGAAGGTTCTCTGTACATTTTCTAGGTCAGCAATTTCACCTGCCTTGAAAGGTGCTGTTAGTGTGCAGCAATATTCCAGCCTAGATAGAACAAGCGACCTGAAGAGTGTCATCATGGGCTTGGCATCCCTAGTTTTGAAGGTTCTCATTATCCATCCTGTCATTTTTCTAGCAGATGCGATTGATACAATGTTATGGTCCTTGAAGGTGAGATCCTCCGACATGATCACTCCCAGGTCTTTGACGTTGATTTTTCGCTCTATTTTGTGGCCAGAATTTGTTTTGTACTCTGATGAAGTTTTAATTTCCTCATGTTTACCATATCGGAGTAATTAAAATTACTCATCGTTGAACTTCATATTGTTTTCTGCAGCCCATTGAAAGATTTGGTTGATGTCCACCTGGAGCCTTGCAGTGTCTGCAATGGAAGACACTGTCATGCAGATTCGGGTGTCATCTGCAAAGGAAGACACGGTGCTGTGGCTGACATCATTGTCTATGTCAGATATGAGGATGAGAAACAAGATGGGAGCGAGTACTGTGCCTTGTGGAACAGAGCTTTTCACCGTAGTTGCTTCAGTCTTTACTCTATTGACTACTACACTTTGTGTTTTGTTTGTGAGGAAATTGTAGATCCATCTACCAACTTCTACCAATATATTTGTAAAGTACCTAGGATAACCCAAAAAAGTCAGAGTGACTTATTTCCATTGGGGTCCTTTTATATTTACACTTATATTTACTTTTATACTTACACTTTTATATTTACACTTACCTCGGAGATGTTAGTTTAATTAGTTAATTTGATGGAGGAGATGCTTGCAGAGGTTTAGGGTGGTGGACGATAGCAGGCTGGCATTATGTTCATTGGCCCTATACACATCCAACAACATTGGAAAGTTACTTTCATGTCGTTTTTCTATCACTTACTCGCTTAACTTACTTGCTACACTGTTAATTCTACACTTTATCACTGGCGGGCACTATCGCCTTTATCGATACCTGCTGCTTTAGTATTGTACATATCGTAGAATCACTGAATCACTGCAGAAGGCACATTCTCCCCTCTCTCTTCCTCCTCCACTTTGGTACTTTGCTATGAGTTTTTTCTTGAATTCTTTTGTGTTTCTTTTCTTCTTTACCACAGAGCTGGCACTAGAAGCTTTCTTTGGGCCCATGGTGGCTTATTTAGCAGTTACAAGCAGTAAAAACAATGAAATAATACAAAATATATTGAATGTATGCATGGATTCATCTTCTCTGGCTTGTAAACATTGGCACACTGACTGTACATGGGCTCAGGCTGCATGGACAAGTTCAGTACAAATGTCCTTAACAGAGTTCTTGGACATTAGCCAAGCCAATATTTTGATGCAAAAACGTGCCGCTATCCGATTTTAACGTTAGCCAATGCCGCCGTTACCCAAAGGTCCACTGTACTCTTAATTACTCTCCAGAAATAATTTCTGAGATGATTCTTAAGTAGGACAAAAGTGGAACTTGGGTACCATATATATACACTAAGTGAAATATGAACTACTGCAGTTGCTTGCCCTGATGATCTCCTCGGGGTGGATTTTCCTTAAGGAATGATCAACTAGCAAGTCATATTGCGTATTAATGATATAAATATATGCTATATATCAACAAAGAGTGACTGTAAATATGTATACAGTGCTTGTCATTTTAAAGTATGATGGGTGGAGGCACCTGGCATACTTGAATGTCAAAAGCATTACCTGTCCTGTTAAGTGTTTTGGTGAGACCGAGAGTTATGATTGCCTGGCAAATTGTAAAGGGATGTCTTGGGATCCCTAAGACTGCATCCTAAATGCCTTCTAAGTTTATTTTGTGGACCAAAATAAAATCATTTCTCCGTAAGCCATGCTTACGGAGAAATGATTCTTATTCCACTTCCCCATGGATATAAAAGGAAAAGTAATTAGAACAAGAACTAAGATAAAATCAAAGAAAACTCATATGAATGTGTATAAATAAACATGTAGTGTGACCTAAGTGTAAGTAGAAGTAGCAAGATGTACCTGTAGTCTTGCATGTTTATGAGGCAGACAAAAGCGACCAACAATCCTACCATCATGTAAAACAATTACAGGCTTTCATTTTACACTCACTTGGCAGAACGGTAGTACCTCCCTGGGTGGTTGCTGTCTACCAACCTACCTATTATTATTATTTATTTATTTATTTTTTAAAAACATTATCCATTTTTCACTGAGGTAGAATGACCCAAAAAAGAAACACTTTCATCGTCATTCATTCCATCACTGTCTTACCAGAGGTGCACCAATATGTACTATAGTTCATATCCTCACCCCTCCTTCAGAGTGCAGGCACTGTACTTCCCACCTCCACTTACTCCTGTCTAGCATGTTCATGCATGCTTGCTGGACATCCAAGCTCCATGCACACAAACCCTCCTTTACCCCCTCCCTCCAGTATTTCCCATTATTATCGGTATCATTATTATTACGATTTTTCTTGTTATTATTATTGCTGTCCTTGGCAGCTATAGCATTTTAGAGTCCAACCATTTGATAAAACATTTTATTTAGGATCAGTTTTACTTAAAGGCCTGTAACTGCATGAGTGTGTACTCATCTGGTCGCAGGGGTTGATTCACAGCTCCTGTATTTGTTTTTTTGTTTTTGTTTGGGTTTTATTACAATACAAACTTTACACAAAGTTCTTTGTAACAGTTCTGGATATCACCATGTTTTGAATTTAAAATGTGATGTGTACTTATACATATATATCTTGCAATAAAGCATCTGAAGCAATTTTGATTCCTGCAGGCATCAACAAGCCATGTACACAAACACTTTATGAGGGAGACGAGGTGTCTCCACCACATTCAGTTAAGGTCGGCTCAAGCAGTGGCACTTCTCCTAATGACAATTCCCAGGTAATTGAGTTTTTTTGTGTTTTCTTGTTCCGAATAATAAGTCTTTACATATCAGATTTAACAATCTCGTAAGTACAGTATTTCATTTTAAGCAGAATAACAGTACAGTGGTACCTTGACTTACGATTTTAATTCATTCCGCTACTGAGCTCGTAACTCAATTTGCTCATACGTGTCAATTAATTGAAATTAATTGAAATGCCATTAATCCATTACATTCCCAAAAAACCACCCCAGGGACAGGAGAAAATACTTCAATATAACACTAATATCAACTCTATGGCTTATTTATCTATCAGAATTGATCTAATATGACATAATAAACACTATAAGTAACATAGAAACATGATAAATACTACTCTAGAATAAATAAAATAGGCCATAATATGGCGAGTGTCCAGGACCAGTCCGAGCATATAAAATCATTACTGCTCCTTCCTATAATGTGTTCTTTGGTCCTGGGTAAGAGAAAATGGAGTTTTTGAGAGGCTAACTGCATTAGATCACTAGTGTGATATATGATTATCTTGGAAGTAGGTTATTGACTTATTTCATGAAGCCCACCATTTATTATTGAAGTAAATGTAACAATATTAACAGGAATCATAAAAAAAATTATTTTTCTATAATTGGCTCGTGGAATACAGTGGACCCCCGGTATTCGATATTAATCTGTTCCTGAGAGCTCATCGAATACCGAAAATATCGAAAAGCGAATCAATTTTCCTCATAAGAAATAATGGAAATCAAATTAATCCGTGCAAGACACCCAAAAGTATGAAAAAAAAAAAATTTACTACATGAAATATTAAGTTTAATGCAAAAGAATAATTCCAGCAAGCGTGCGTGAGCGTGTTAGATAGGAGTGAATGGAGACGAATGATACTTGGGACCTGACGATCTGTTGGAGTGTGAGCAGGGTAATATTTAGTGAAGGGATTCAGGGAAACTGGTTATTTTCATATAGTCGGACGTGAGTCCTGGAAATGGGAAGTACAATGCCTGCACTTTAAAGGAGGGGTTTGGGATATTGGCAGTTTGGAGGGATATGTTGTGTATCTTTATATGTGTATGCTTCTAAACTGTTGTATTCTGAGCACCTCTGCAAAAACAGTGATAATGTGCGAGTGTGGTGAAAGTGTTGAATGATGATGAAAGTATTTTCTTTTTGGGGATTTTCTTTCTTTTTTGGGTCACCCTGCCTCGGTGGGAGACGGCCGACTTGTTAAAAAAAAAAAAAAACAATAACAATAGAATAATTGACACTTACCTTTAATGAAGATCTGGTGATGATTGATGGGATGGGAGGAGGGGAGAGGGTTGTTGTGTTTAGAAGGGGAATCCCCTTCCATTAGGCTTGAGGTAGCAAGTCCTTTTCTGGGGTTACTTCCCTTCTTCTCTTAATGCCACTAGGACCAGCTTGAGAGTCACTGGACTTCTGTCGCACAACATATGTGTCCATAGTGGCCTGTACCTCCAGTTCCTTTATGACATTCCTAAAGTGTTTCACAACATTGTCAGTGTAATAGTCACCAGCACGGCTTGCAATAGCTGTATTAGGGTGATTGTCACCAAAAAAGGTTTGCACTTTAAGCCACATTGCACACATTTCCTTAATCTTTGAAATAGGCAACTTCTTCAATTTCTCTATCCCCTCCTCCGAAGCAGTTTCCTCAGGTGTGGCCTCTTGCTGTTGAAGTGATCTAGCAGCTCATCAGTGGTTTTGTTTGTCATTTTCCTCCTCCACCAACTCTTCCACATCCTCCCCACTAACCTCCAACCCCAAGGACTTCCCCAGTGCCACAATGGATTCCTCAACTTGCATACGCTTCTCAGGGTTAGCCTCAAAACCTTCAAAATCCCTTTTGTCTACACATTCTGGCCACAGTTTTTCCAAGCAGGTTCAAAGTCCTCTTAGTCACTCTTTCCCAAGCCATACCTATAATGTTTATACAATTGAGGATATTAAAGTGATCCTTCCAAAACTCTTTTAGAGTCATTTGAGTTTCTGTGGTCACTACAAAGCACTTTTGAAAAATAGCTTTTGTGTACAGTTTCTTGAAGTTGGGAAATAACCTGCTGGTCCAAATGGGCTGCAGGAGAGGAGTGGTATTAGGAGGCAAAAACTTGACCTTAATGAAGCTCATGTCCCCAGAAAGTCACTCTGCCAAGTCTGTAGGATGACCAGGGGCATTGTCTAATACCAGGAGGCACTAAGGTCTAATTTCTTTTCAATTAGGTAATTTTTCACAGTGGGGGCCAATGCATGGTGTAACCAGTCATAGAAAAAGTCCCTAGTGACCCATGCCTTACTGTTTGCCTTCCACAGCACACACAAATTAGCCTTGAGGACATTGTTTTTTCTGAACACTCTGGGAGTTTCAGAGTGATACACCAATAAAGGCTTCACTTTGCAATCACCACTAGCATTGGCACACATCAACAGAGTAAGCCTGTCTTTCATAGGCTTATGTCCTGGGAGTGCCTTTTCCTCCTGAGTAATGTAGGTCCTGCTTGGCATTTTCTTCCAAAACAGGCCTGTTTCGTCGCAATTAAACACTTGTTCAGGTTTCAAGTCTTCACTGTATGTAATCCTTGAATTCCTTCACATATTTTTCAGCTGCTTTTTGGTCTGAACTGGCAGCCTCACCATGCCTAATCACACTATGTATGCCACTACGATTCTTAAATCTTTCAAACCAACCTTTGCTGGCCTTAAATTCACTCACATCAGCACTAGTTGCAGGCAATTTCTTTACCAATTCGTCATGCAACTGCCTAGCCTTTTCACAAATGATCGCTTGAGAGATGCTATCTCCTGCTATCTGTTTTTCATTTATCCACACCAATAACAGTCTCAACATTTTCTAACACTTGTGGTCGCTGTTTCGTAATCACAGTTGCACCTTTTGCAAGAACAGCTTCCTTGATTGCTGTTTTCCTGGTCACTATAGTAGAGATGGTTGATTGGGGTTTATTATACAACCTGACCAGCTCCGACACATGTACTCCACTTTTGTACTTTGCAATTATCTCTCTTCATTTCAATAGTCATTAGCACCTTTTTTCTCGAAGGGTTGGCACTAGAAGCTTTCTTGGGGCCCATGGTGACTTATTTTGCAGAAACAAGCACCAAAAACAGTGATAATGTGGAATGTACCAAATGTATCCTTAGATGCGCGCACACTGGCTGGCTTGTAAACACTGGCACACACGGGGCAGTTCAGGCCACACGTGGACACATCTTGTACGAATCGTATCGAATACCAGGTTTTTGATCGGATACCGAGGCAAAATTTTTGTGATATAATGCATTGAATACTGGATTTAGCGAATACTGATGCCATCGAATACCGGGGGTCCACTGTATTGGAAATGTTCCAAATATTTTGGGATTTGTGTGGGAGTAAAGGGCAAGATATTTTGCAAATATCAAGAACTTAGCAACTTTATTTTTTGTAGAATAACTAAAGATAATTGATAACCTCCAGTGAGAACATCATTCTAGCATTGTTTTATAAGTACCAAGTCCCAAAACCGCCTTTCGTTGTGCCATTTAGGCCAGGGTTCTTGCCAAATGTCATTTTCAGTCAATATTTTTTTTTTAGTAATTTTTTTTTTCACTCATAACTCAGATTTTGGTTTGCAACTCAAAGCAAAAAATCAATCAAGTGATGGCTTGTAACTCGGAAAGCTCATAAGTTGGGGCACTCGTAAGTCAAGGTACCACTGAATATGAATTGTAAGAGATTTTGTTTTACTGGTACAGGTCCACATCCCTTTATCCGAAACCTTTGGGGCCAGTAGTGTTTCGAATTTCAGAATTTTTCAAATTTCAGAATGAAGGTGGGGTCTAGGGCAGCACCCCATAATCGAACATTAACACTGCAGCAAAAACATATGAATACTCACACTAAGTGGGATAAATAAAGACTACAAATAATACTAAGGTTTATTTATAGAGTAATATACTGATAAATTAAATAATGGGATAATTATAGACTAGCAGAAGCTTTTTCACCACAGATTTTCAGACATTTTACACCATTATGCTTCTTAAATTTCTGCAGCCAACCATCTGAATATTGACACTCACCTTCAATGTTCAGTTTTTCATGGTATATTCTAGCTCGTTTCATAACCAACAAACCAGTCAGTGGCATACGTTCATCTCTTCGTTGTCGAATCCACTCCATTAGCACACAGTCAAGATATTCGTTTTTTTTTGCCCTGTGCAGTGTTTTCCTATTTTTCATTAGTTTTTGGTCATCACTGTCACTATAATACTTCAGTAATGTGTCTTTCTGTTTCTTTAAATCATAAACAGTAAGACGTTGCACTTACACACCACGATCGAGCTTCTGAAGTAACGCTACTTTCTGCGTTAATGATAACGTCAGATGCTTCTTTTTCTTTTTCTCACTCTTACCCATAGAGGTATCTGCAGCTCTTTTTGACATTTTCACAGTGAAATAAAACACAGTCAAAAAATAAAAAAGGAAACACAAAATATCAGCAAACAGCAGACATGTGTGAACACTACAAGTGCTGAGACGCAACTGACACCTGCCACTCTGGCTGTCAGTGCTGACTCATGCCGCCACATGGCAGCGTTGGAGTTATGAAGAGATGACTGACGCTCCACACTCCACAAAAAAACTACAGTTTTCGGAACTTTTTGAATTTCAGAATTTTGGATAAAGGGATGTGGACTTGTATGTGATGTATAAAAATACATGCTTCTGTATATTATTTTTCTTTGGTTGAAATATCTGTACTGTTCATGTATGATCTGCACTACTCTTGTATGATATATTGTATTGCTGTATAATTTATACTGTACCTCTGTGATGTATACTGTTTCTGTATGATTTGTATTGTTCCTTTATGATTTGTACTGGTACTGTATGAAGTATACAGTTCCTGTATGATGTGTATTATTTCTATATGATGTGTACTGTTTATATGATATGTACTGTTTGTGTATAATTTGTACTGTTACTGTATGATTTGTACAGTTCCTGTATGAAGTATACTGTTCCTGTATGATGTGTATTATTCCTGTATGATGTATACTGTTCCTATATTATTTGTACTGTTCCTGTACAATTTGTGCTGTTCCTGTATGATTTGTGCTGTTCCTGTATAATCTGTGCTGTTCCTGTATGAGGTGTACTGCTCTTCTGTGAGGTGTACAATTCCTCTGTGAGGTGTACTGTTCCTGTATGAGGTGTACTGTTCCTCTGTGAGGTGTACCATTTCTCTGTGAGGTGTATTGTTCCTGTATGAGGTATACTGTTCCTGTATGGGGTGTACTGTTCCTGTATGAGGTATACTGTTCCTGTATGAGGTGTACTGTTCCTGTATGAGGTATATTGTTCCTGTATGAGGTATACTGTTCCTGTATGAGGTATACTGTTCCTGTATGAGGTATACTGTTCCTGTATGGGGTGTACTGTTCCTGTATGAGGTGTACTGCTCCTGAATGAGATGTACTGTTCCTGTATGAGGTGTACTGTTCCTTTGTGAGGTGTACTGTGCCTGTATGAAGTTATTGTTCCTATAAATGGTGTACTGTTCCTGTATGATGTGTACTGTTCCTGTACATGGTGTACTGTTCCTCTGTGAGGTGTACTGTTCTTGTATGAGGTGTACTGTTTCTGTATGTGGTGTACTCTTCCTGTATGAGGTGTACTCTTCCTGTATGTGGTGTACTGTTCCTGTATGAGATGTACTGTTCCTCTGTGAGGTGTACTGTTCCTGTATGAGGTGTACTGTTCCTTCATGAGGTGTACTGTTCCTCTGTGAGGTGTACTGCTCCTGTATGGGGTGTACTGTTCCTGTATGAGATGTTCTGTTCTTGTGTGAGGTGTACTGTCCCTGTATGAGGTGTATTATTCCTCTGTGAGGTGCACTGTTCCTCTGTGAGGTGTACTGTTCTTGTATGAGGTGTACTATTCCTTTATGAGGTGTACTGTTCCTGTATGAGGTGTACTGTTCCTTTATGAGGTGTACTGTTCCTGTATGAGGTGTACTGTTTCTGAATGAGATGTACTGTTCCTCTAGTACTGTTCCTGTAAAGGTGTACTGTTCCTGTATGAGGTGTACTGCTTCTGTATGAGGTGTACTGTTCTTGTATGAGGTGTACTATTCCTTTATGAGGTGTACTGTTCTTGTATGAGGTGTACTGTTCCTTTATGAGGTGTACTGTTCCTGTATGAGGTGTACTGTTCCTGAATGAGATGTACTGTTCCTCTGTGAGGTGTACTGTTCCTCTGTGAGGTGTACTGTTCCTGTATGAGGTTGTCTGTTCTGTATGAGGTGTACTGTTTCTGAATGAGATGTACTGTTCCTCTGTGAGGTGTACTGTTCCTCTGTGAGGTGTACTGTTCCTCTGTGAGGTGTACTGTTCTTGTATGAGGTGTACTATTCCTTTATGAGGTGTACTGTTCTTGTATGAGGTGTACTGTTCCTTTATGAGGTGTACTGTTCCTGTATGAGGTGTACTGTTCCTGTATGAGGTGTACTGTTCCTGAATGATGTACTGTTCCTCTGTGAGGTGTACTGTTCCTGTATGAGGTGTACTGTTCCTGTATGAGGTGTACTGTTACTGTATGAGGTGTTCTGTTCTTGTATGAGGTGTACTATTCCTCTGTGAGGTATACTGTTCCTGTATAAAGTGTACTGTTCCTGTATGAGATGTTCTGTTCTTGTATGAGGTATACTCTCCCTGTATGAAGTGTACTGTTCCTCTGTGAGGTGTACTGTTCCTGTATGAGGTGTATTGTTCCTCTGTGAGGTGTACTGTTCCTCGGTGAAGTGTACTATTCCTATATGAGGTGTTCTGTTCCTGTATGAGATGTACTATTCCTCTGTGAGGTGTACTGTTCCTGTATGACCTGGAGTTTACCTGGAGAGAGTTCCGGGGGTCAACGCCCCTGCGGCCCGGTCTGAGACCAGGCCTCCTGGTGGATCAGAGCCTGATCAACCAGGCTGTTGCTGCTGGCTGCACGCAAACCAACATACGAGCTACAGCCCGGCTGATCCGGAACTGACTTTAGGTGCTTGTCCAGTGCCAGCTTGAAGACTGCCAGGGGTCTGTTGGTAATCCCCCTTATGTGTGCTGGGAGGCAGTTGAACAGTCTCGGGCCCCTGACACTTATTGTATGGTCTCTTAACGTGCTAGTGACACCCCTGCTTTTCATTGGGGGGATGGTGCATCGTCTGCCAAGTCTTTTGCTTTCGTAGTGAGTGATTTTCGTGTGCAAATTCGGTACTAGTCCCTCTAGGATTTTCCAGGTGTATATAATCATGTATCTCTCCCTCCTGCGTTCCAGGGAATACAGGTTTAGGAACCTCAAGCGCTCCCAATAATTGAGGTGTTTTATCTCCGTTATGCGCGCCGTGAAAGTTCTCTGTACATTTTCTAGGTCGGCAATTTCACCTGCCTTGAAAGGTGCTGTTAGTGTGCAGCAATATTCCAGCCTAGATAGAACAAGTGACCTGAAGAGTGTTATTGTTCCTGTATAAAGTGTACTGTTCCTGTATGAGATTATTGTTCCTGTATGAGGTGTACTGTTCCTATATGAGGTTATTGTTCCTGTATGAGGTGTACTGTTCCTGTATGAGGTTATTGTTCCTGTATGAGGTGTACTGTTCCTGTATGAGATTATTGTTCCTGGAAGAGCTGTACTGTTCCTGTATGAGGTGTACTGTTCCTGTATGAGGTTATTGTTCGTGTAAGAGGTGTACTGTTCCTGTATGATGTGTACTGTTCCTGTATGAGGTTATTGTTCCTGTACAAGGTGTACTGTTCCTGTATGAGGTATACTGTTCCTGTATGAAGTTATTGTTCCTATATAAGGTGTACTGTTCTTCTGTGAGGTAGACTGTTCCTGTATGAGGTGTACTGTTCCTGTATGAGGTGTACTGTTCCTGTATGAGGTGTACTGTTTTTTTGTGAGGTGTACTGTTCCTGTATGAGGTGTACTGTTCCTCTGTGAAGTGTACTGTTCCTCTATGATGTGTACTGTTCCTGTATGAGGTGTACTGTTCCTCTGTGAAGTGTACTGTTCCTCTATGATGTGTACTGTTCCTGTATGAGGTGTACTGTTCCTCTGTGAAGTGCACTGTTCCTCTATGATTTGTACTGTTCCTGTATGAGGTGTACTGTTCCTCTGTGAAGTGCACTGTTCCTCTATGATGTGTACTGTTCCTGTATGAAGTGTACTGTTCCTCTATAAAGTGTACTGTTGCATAATGTGTATTTTTATACTATACAACATGTGCTGTTATACAATACGTGTACAGTGCCTAGAGAGAGAGGTGTGTCTCCTTTTACTGTTACTACCGACTTTCTGTATATTTTTAGTATTAGTGTACCTTGTTTAATGGTGATGATCATTTAGGGTCTGACCTAAATATAATTGTTGTTTTTAAAATGATTGATACAGTGTTTTTCTTGTGTCTCGTCTGGTAGCATATCAGAAGCTCTTCTTAGTTTGTTTTATTTCATGTTTAATCTCTAAGATGAATACCAAATAGTTTTTTTTTCATGTAAGGAATGGCATTCAGTTTTTAAGGACTGCAGAATTAATACTAGAAGAGTACAGCTGTAAATAAATTAAAATTTATTGAGACATTAACATGTCGATATATTGTTTGCTGTAGATTTTGCCTGAGGCATTTAGAATTTGTGTAAAAAAAATTATTTGCACATGAAGTAATTTGAGTGAATTTTTGCTTTAATTTTACTGATTTGCCTTATGTCATTATAATAGTTTTTATATTTTTCTTATCAGTTGCCAAAGAATAAACAAAGTGTCCTCCGTCCAGGAAGATCGCTGATTAACCCTTTTGATCCTTCACATGTTACCATCAAACTGACATCAAATCGCAGGAGATGGATCCACATATTCCCAAAAGGTATTCAGCACTATTCTTTCATCTAATTCAATGCATTTATTAATAGTTTATAAACGAATGTCTTGAAGATTTTTTTTTTCAACACACCAGCCATCTCCTACTGAGGCAGGGTGACCCAAAAAAGAAAGAAACTCTTTCACCATCATTCACACATAATGACTGTCTTTGCATAGGTGCCCGGATATGATAGTTTAGATGTCACTCCAAACAGCCAATATCTCAATCCCTTCTTTAAAGTGCAGGCATTGTACTTCCCACCTCCAGGATTCAAGTCCAGCTAACCTGTTTCCCTGAATCCCATCACAAAATATTACCCTGCTTGTCAGGTCCCAGAAACCACTTGTCTCCATACACTCCTATCTAACATGCTCACATGTGCCTGCTGCATATCCAGGCTGCTTGCACACAAAATCTCTTTTACCCCCTCCCTCTATCCTTTCCTAGGATTAATATATTTATTAATTTTTTAGTCCTGTTATGTACTAGATTCATGCTGTTTAGCTATGAATGGAATAAGGAGTTATAGTTAGCGAATTTAATGACTATGAGAGGTATTAATATGTTCATTATAAAGGATAATGCATTACTTTGTTGAAAATAATAGATGATGGAACTCATTGCAGATATGAATGAGACTGTTTCAAATGCAAGAAAAGTTTTCATGTCCAAAACAGTTATGATATGAGAAGTGATGTGTTGCATTATGGAGAGAGTAGATTACTGTTATGTATGAAATGAAGAAGTGGAATATTTAGGCATCCTTGAGAGTGTACCTTCAAGTGGTTGCCTAAATTGTTTTTATATTCTTCCTCCAAGGTTTTTCTTTACTATTTGATATGTCTCATCCTATCAACTTCAGTTTTTCATTGCTGGTAAACTGTAATGAGGGAAAAAGGTTCTTGTAACTATTGGCATGTGTAAGTGCCATTTGATCTCTTTTATATAGACTATGTACTTTCTATTTTGGTTTCCATGCAATAACTTGAGAAAGCTTCTTCTGATCATCTTCAAAATTTTTACATTAATGTTTTTCCACTTAGAAAGTTGGGATTGTTATTGGATTGTGTAGGTGCTAATTTGCTAATTTTATTTTATAAATGGTGTGGTATTTTGTTTCCTTGAGATAGCTTGACTACTGTATGCCTATTTTCAATGGCTTCTGTGAGATAATTGGAGAATGTATCTTCTGTTTGGCTTCAAACTTTTAGCACTGGTTTTATTTTCTTTGCATGGATTTTGGATTGTGTAAATTTTGATTTTCTGAATTTTAAATAAATTTGTTTCTGCGCAATAACTGGAAACTGTCTTCTGATAAGCTTCTGACCTAAAAAGCTAGTACTTATACAGTAAACCCTCAAGTAACAAGTGAGTTATGTTTGTGAAAATCAGCACTTAAATAAAAATTGTGATAGGCAGGAAAAGAAAACATAGACCTTCCATTATAAATGACAATAAAAACCAATGTAAATACTATAATGATCCACAGCTTCACAATCCAGCACATGCAGCAGCTAGGAGGATTGGTAAAGCATACCGTGAATGTAGAACCCCAGACCTGCTTAGAATGTTCCAAGCTGCACTAACAAATGCAAGGAATAGAAAACAAGAACTTAGGCAACACAAATGGGAACAATTTGTTAGTGGATTAAATAGGTCCACCCCTTTAAGTTTGGCTTGGAAAGGTATAAATAAAATAATCAGGAAAAAGATACTGGCAATGTTGCTCATCCCTTTTCTTTTGAAAAAGCAAATGACCTCATAAATGACTGGTCCAAAACATCCAGGCATGAAAACCTTCCATCTCACATTAGAAAAAATTTAGAGAGTGCTTCTGAAGAAATGTTGAAACTGATTAATTTTATGAACCAAAATATTTATTAGAGTGATTGCCTATGATATTCTCAGACCTCTAAGGCACGTGCCTGATAATCCTTTGTTGGCACTGTATAATACCAGTTACATTGAAGGAGTTCTTCCTACTTCCTGGAACAATAGTCTTAGTGTGCCTATCCCTAAGCCCCCAACAGCCTGATACATTTAGACCGATCTCCTTAACTAGTTGTCTTTGTAAAACTTTTGAAAGAATGATACCCAACAGACTGCACAACAGAATCAGATGCCAACTTTCCCCCTACCTCTATGGGTTCATGAAAAGTAAAAGTGTGCAGAACTGTATTTCCACCTTTCTCACTGCACACACTTCTACCAGTTTTACCACATTTCTTGATCTAAAATCTGCATTTGATATTGCAAACAGAACTGTTATACTGCATGAACTAGCCAAAATGAATATTGGTGGTGGCCTACTTTGCTGGATAATAGGATACCTGTCAAGTAGAGTATCCTCTGTTCTCTACCAAGGCTTTAGAAGTGAGTCTAAAGAAATGTCCCTAGGTACACTGCAGGGAGGAGTTCTCAGTCCCTTGTTATTTAATATTCTGATTAATGCTCTCCTAAATGCTCTACCTGCCTCACCTAAACATATAGCTATAAGCTATGCTGATGACATCATGATCCACACAACAGGGTATAAGAAGATGAGTACCATTCCTAATGAAGTTCAAACAATTTCTAATCAACTTGACCTCATAATATCTTCCTTTAAAACAAAGATATTAACAAGCAAATGACATCCCCCACCCATGTATTTGCAGGGTGAAAACATTAGCTACATTAAAACTTACAGATATCTTGGTGTAGATGTACCCTCTAACAAATCCACTATACCACAACTAAATAAGAAATGCAAAGATAGGCTAAATGCTCTCAAAGTTGTTGCTGGCTACAACCCCAACTATGGTGCTTATATGAGAATTGTGAGAATGATGTATATAGCCTATGTTAGGTCCTTAATTGATTATGCTGCTCCCATGTTGATATTAGCCAGAGAAAGTTCTCTCCGACCCTTGGAGTTAATGCAAAATGAAGCTCTCAGAATTATTCTTGGTTGTCCCAAATCTACAAAGGTTTTTAATATGAGGAAGGAGCTTGGTATTTCTAGTATCAGTGATAGGATTGTTGAGATTAACACTGTACTCGGTATCAGAATGTTAAGAATTGAATCAGACACTGTCACAATGAATCTTACTAAGTGTCTAGAAGTAAATACACACAGATCTAAATGGATTGTGAAAACATGCAATTACTAAGTTTTATAACCTGCATGAACGGTATCATTGTAGATAACAAGAGCATTTCACCCCTCCATGGAAGATGTGTTCATTTAATATCACATACCTGCAAGTCCTTCCCAAGAAGCTCATTGCTAGTAATCCCTTCCTTAAATCACTTGTTAAAGCAACTGCTCAAGAAGAAATTTCTCACCTAGCTGGTAGTAATAAGTTATCACAAGTTATATACACTGATGGATCTTAACAGGAGTCTTCTGGTAGGGCTGCATCTGCTCTTGTTGCCACCTCCCTAGTTAAGAACGATAATAAACTTGATAAATTAGACACATGTGCAACTCTTGGGTATCTTTATTGAGGAAACGTTTCGCCACACAGTGGCTTCATCAGTCCATACGTAGGAGAAACTTGAAGAACAGGAGGAGAATGAGGTAATCAGTCCCTCAACCTTGAGTCGATGTGTTCAGTCCATCAATCTTGTATTCTATTCAAGATTGATGGACTGAACACATCGACTCAAGGTTGAGGGACTGATTACCTCATTCTCCTCCTGTTCTTCAAGTTTCTCCTACGTATGGACTGATGAAGCCACTGTGTGGCGAAACGTTTCCTCAATAAAGATACCCAAGAGTTGCCCATGTGTCAAATTTATCAACATGTCGGTTCTCTGAACCATTCATCTACAGATAATAAACTTGTTGAACTAGGCATAAGAATTAACAACTGGGCATCTACACTGCAAACTGAATTGTTTGCAATCCTAATAGTGCTAAAGCTAACTTATGACACTGAGCTTGACTCTATCATCATTATTGATTCTATGCCATCACTGAAGGCTCTTGACTCATATAAGACTCCAACAACATGCTCATTGGAGAAGCCGGGTATCGATACTCAAAAATCTAGGACAAAGGAATTAATGTACAATTGCTATGGATCCCATCACACATTGGATTACTCCTTCATGATAAAGTTGATACGTTAGCCAAGAAGAGTACCCAGAACGAGAATGTAGAATATAACTTTGGTATATCTGTGTCTAGCATTAGGAATAATATTAGGAGAGAAGTAAATAATGAAAATGATTGTTATAGGAATGCAGTTAGAAGCCTGAGTAGATCAGTAACCCACTATGATAACATGAATATAGATAAGTATGTGTATGGAGCACCTTGCAATGTAAACAGACTGAGTGATGTTGTAGTGGCCAGGCTTAGGCTTGGTTACAAGTACTTCTGGCAGTTTGGGAGACACACAGATGATGATCAAACTAAATGCAAATTATGTGATCAGGCATATGGTCACTGTCTTGAACACTATGTGCTTAATTGTCCACTTATTGAGGAATACAGAGACAGACAGTATAATAACCTATGTGACATGTCAAGATATTTTATTAATGAAAATAAGATACTAGATATACTAAGCAAATTTCCTAAATTTGCTTGTAACAGATAAGTGAACTGTAGATATGAAGATATAAACCCATATGTACACCTGTTAACCCTTTTGGAGCCTAGTTCCTAGGCCTTTTGTGTATCCATATGCTCTTGTGCTTCCGTCCACAGGATGCATAGGGGTGCACAATAAACTAGCCACTTCAGTGGCAAAATCTAAAATCTATCTGAAGTGAAGAACACAGGAAGAATAGGGCTATTTTCCAGCTATTTTCAAATTTGCCAATAGATAATTTTAATAGATACAAATTACTACATTTAATTCTAGCTTAGTCTGATTGTCATTGCTCGTTTATATAATGTGGTGGAGAAGACTGATGTGGTTCTTCTGAGCTGAGGTGGATGGCTGTGCTTCTTGTGTTGATGTGGACACATAGTTGCCAGTAATTGATGTTTGTACTCCTGCTGTGTAAACTGTTTATCTTCAGGCAGAGATGTTTTGTCTTAATCTTTTAAAATGTGGTGATTCTCTGCATGATAAATTAGCACAAGCTTGCACTTGAAATTACTTGTTGCATTTGTGCAGAGAAGCAAGTGAAGCAGTCCTTAATTGTCTTAACACTAGTTACAAATTGGTTTTGCATGCTAATATAAATTCTTATAGCATACACTTCTATGTATGCCATCAAGAACTGTAACTGTTTTGGGACTGTAACTGTTTTCAGCAATCATTTCATCAAAGTCAGCATTGTAAGTTTGCCTGTCTGTGATCAGCTGATGCACTCTCACCTCTGAACTTTGTTATGAAGCTGAATGCACTTATTAATTTGATTAAAAATATAGCATTCATCAGGCATAACCTGAAGGTAAATAAATATTCTTCTTCTTCTTGCAACGTACCAGCCGTATCCCACCGAGGCGGGGTGGCCCGAAAGGAAAAACGAAAGTTTCTCCTTTCAAATTTATTAATACATACAGGAGAAGGGGTTACTAGCCCCTTGCTCCCGGCATTTTAGTCGCCTCTTACGACACGCATGGCTTACGGAGGAAGAATTCTGTTCCACTTCCCCATGGAGATAAGAGGAAATAAACAAGAACAAGAACTAGAAAGAAAATAGAAGAAAATCCAGAGGGGTGTGTATATATATGCTTGTACATGTATGTTTAGTGTGACCTAAGTGTAAGTAGAAGTAGCAAGATGTACCTGAAATCTTGCATGCTTATGAGACAGAAAAAAGACACCAGCAATCCTACCATCATGTAAAACAATTACAGGCTTCCGTTTTACACTCACTTGGCAGGACGGTAGTACCTCCCTGGGTGGTTGCTGTCTACCAACCTACTACCTAGGAAATAAATATTCAAGTGATAAAAAAAAAACATTCTTTTCTTTTCAGATCAGACTGGTGTTCTAATCCAGCAGCATCACTATCATGACTCCAGTAGTAGAGCAAAGGAGGACGAATTGTCATCTTCCTTCAAAACTACTGATAATGAGGTGAATCATCCTCAACCCATGTCTTCAACACCAGCTAGGAGCCCTGCAGCTGCAGACCTTGCTGCACCTCACCCAAAGACTGTCATAGCCCAGCTGAACCAAGAAAGTAAGTTTTTGCATTTACGGTCAGTGCAGTTATTTATGTAATTTAGTGAGATAATTGGGAATAGATAGTTTCCTTCATCTTATTTGAAGATAGACATTAAAGAAAAATAACAAGAGGCAATTTTGTTGGAAAAGATTATTCATTTTGTCTTTAATCTTTCATGCATGGAGTAGAAATGGACATTTTGTAGATTCTATAATACTATTTTTATGTTCATGTATCTATATGTCTTTGATGGTGTTGGGGAGAGGCGTACGATTAAATTATGCAATGCTTAGTGGAAGAGTTTGGGAGGGTGTGTAAAGAAAGTTCAAAGTGAACATAGATAAGAGTAAGGTGATGAGGGTATCTTTTGAGATAGGTAAAGAAAAATTGGATATCACATTGGAGGGAGTGATTATGGAAGAAGTGAATGTGTTCAGATATTTGAGAGTAGATTTGTCAGCAAATGGGTTTATGAAGGATGAGGTTATCCATAGAATTGATGAAGGAAAAAAGATGGGTGGTGCATTGAGGTATCTGTGGAGACAAAGAACATTATCCATGGAGACAAAGTAGAGAATGTATGAGAGTTTAATGGTACCAACACTTATATGGGTGTGAGCATGGATTGTAAATGCTGCAGCAAGAATTAGGCTGGAGGCAGTGAAGATGTGTCTAAGGGCAATGGATGGTGTAAATATTATGCAGAGAATTTGTAGTGTGGAAATTAGGAGGTGTTGTGGAGTTACTAAAAGTATTATTCAGAGGGCTGAAGAGGGGGAGGGGGTTGTTGAGACGGTTTGGTCATTTAGAGAGGATGGAGCAAAATAGGATGACTTTGAGGGTGTATAAATCTGTAGTGGAGGGAAGGAAGGGGAAGTGGTCATCCTAGGAAAGGCTGGAGGGAGGAGGGTAAAAGAAATTTTGCGTGCAAGGGGCCTGGACGTGAGCAGGCATATGTGAGTGCGTTAGAAATTAGTGAGTGGTGGCGAATGGTTTTTGGGACTTGACGAGATGTTGGAGTGTGAGCAGGGTAATACTTTGTGAAAGGATTCAGGGAAACTGGTTAACTGGACTTGAGTCCTAGAGGTGGGAAGTACAGTGACTGCACTTTAAGGAGGGGTTTGGGACATTTGTTGTTTGAAGTGACGTCCACACTGTTGTATCTGCATGTCTCTGCTAAGACAGTGTTAGTGTGAATGATGATGAAAGTTTTTTTTTTTTTTTTTGGGTGGGTGGGGGGTCACCCTGCCTCAGTGGGAGATGGCCAGCATGTTAAAAAAAAAAATGGTTTTTATATATGAATTGTAAATGTAAATAAAAGTGATGAGAAATGTTTATAAAGAAAGAATTGAGTAATATTAATAAAAAAGTATGAGTAGTAATAGCATAATGAGGCATAAGTAGGTGAACCATTGTTGTACACGATTGTGAACTATCAATAGTATAGTTAAACTACCACAGTAAATTCTCCCTCGCACCATGAGGGCTCTTTCTTCATTATTTTTTGTTTTATCCCTCCGTATTTACTTTAATTCATCAATATGATTGTACGAGTATGTGATGAATTTGTTGGTAATAATTGTACTGTATATAGTTATTTACTTTCATGCTTATGTCAAGGCTGAATTAATGGAATTTTAACTGTGTATTATATTGGGAATATTGTATAAAATTTTTCATCTTTGTTATGCAGATGTAAACGGTGGTCGTCGAGATCCTCGTCCACGGGCGTCTTCGTCACTGGCCAGTTCACTCACATCGGTTGACAGTAATGTAGCATTTCACATGTAGAATTTCTTTTAGTAAATTATATTTACTTACTATTCATCATTTCAGATTACTGTAAATTTTAACATTTATGTCCTTTTTTTACATATACAGTGGACCCCCGGTTAACGATATTTTTTCATTCCAGAAGTATGTTCAGGTGCCAGTACTGACCGAATTTGTTCCCATAAGGAATATTGTGAAGTAGATTAGTCCATTTCAGACCCCCAAACATACACGTACAAACGCACTTACATAAATACACTTACATAATTGGTCGCATTGTGAGGTGATCGTTATGCGGGGGTCCACTGTAGTATGATCAAGTTAAGCAGACACTATTATAAAGGTGCCAGGGATATTGTCATTTGTGAGGACTAGAATATCACACTTGTTCACAGTGAAATGCTTCTGCTACTGTTTTGACCACAATATTAACTTAACCAAATTATCTGTTGTCTCTTCAGACTGGGTATATGACTACAGTTCAATAGATATGTGATATATGATAGAGGCAGCTTATCCTATACTAATTGCTCTAAAATGTAATTTTATACCTCTGCTGCTACTACAGAATTCTGAAAATAAGATCATAAAAATAGTGGAGCACTACAATAGTTCTACTGGACTTAGGGCAGGTTCTGATAACACCCAGTCACTGCCATGCATGTACTTAACTAACTGATATTTAAATCTACAAAAAGTGCTTGCTTCATTACACTGCTAAGCAGTTTGCTCCGCTACACTTCTATTGCCAAAATGGTATAAATTTTTGTAATGGATACTGACAAGTGGTTGAAAATACACATGAGCAAACACTAGGGCATATTTGTTAGAAAATATTTTGGTGCTGGGACCCTTATCAATTTATTCCCAGGACTGTAACATTTTCTAATAAATTCTTTGTATATCCTGGTATTTGCTCAGATAGCTTTTAAAATATGTTAATGAATCATGGCTTTCCTATATTCCTTCTTTTTTGGACAAATATGACCATTTAATGCATGTGGAGTATCCTCATTTTTTAGGCAAATTAGTAAAAAAATCTAATTTTTTATAATATCCATTTTCTGTGCTATGGTACTTGACCCTTAATTTGAAAATGAGTTGTAGGATTTAATTAAAAATGCATGCATTAGATTGCCTACATCCAAATCTTTTCTTGTAAAATATTTTCATATGAATGCATGTACAGTATTAACCCGTAAACGATCCAAATGTATATATACGTTTTTTCAACATTTGAAAGTATGTAAAAAGAGTAGATCTTCTTTTTTTTTTTTTGTACATTTGAAAACGTGTAAAAAAACTTTGATCTACTTTTTTTTTTGTTATAGTATTTGAAAATATGTAAAAAAAACATAGATCTACTTTTGGAGCACTACACATGTGAATGTAGATCTGCTTGGACCATAGGAGAAAGAAACTTATGATGGCATTTCGGTCAGACTTAAACCATTAACTAATCAATGGTACAAGTCAGATATATGTTGCAAGTATATGGAAAAGGTAGTAAGTTACTAAATGCTGTAAAGAGTTTTTATGAGGATAGTGAGGCTCATGTTAGGGTGTGTAGAAGAGGGAGACTACTTCCCGGTAAAAGTAGGTCTTAGACAGGGATGTGTAATGACACCATGGTTGTTTAATATATTTATAAATGGGGTTGTAAAAGAAGTAAATGCTAGGGTGTTCGGGAGAGGGGTCGGATTAAATTATGGGGAATCAAATACAAAATGAGAATTGACACAGTTACATTTTGCTGATGATACTGTGCTTATGGGAGATTCTAAAGAAAAATTGCGAAGGTTAGTATATGAGTTTGGGAGTGTGTGTAAAGGTAGAAAGTTGAAAGTGAACATAGAAAAGAGTAAAATGATGAGGGTATCAAATGATTTAGATAAAGAAAAATTGGATATCAAATTGGAGATGAGGAGTATGGAAGAAGTGAATGTTTTCAGATATTTGGGAGTTGACTTGTCAGTGGATGGATTTATGAAGGATGAGGTTAATCATAGAATTGATGAACGAAAAAAGGTGAGTGGTGCATTGAGGTATATGTGGAGACAAAAAAGGTTATCTATGGAGGCAAAGAAGGGAATGTATGAAAGTATAGTGGTACCAACACTTTTGTATGAGTGTGAAACTTGGGTGGTAAATGCAGCAGCGAGGAGACGGTTGGAGGCAGTGGAGATGTCCTGTCTAAGGGCAATGTGTGGTGTAAATATTATGCAGAAAATTCGGAGTGTGGAAATTAGGAGAAGGTGTGGAGTTAATAAAAGCATTAGTCAGAGGGCTGAAGAGGGGCTGTTGAGGTGGTTTGGTCATTTAGAGAGAATGGATCAAAGTAGAATGACATGGAGAGCATATAAATCTGTAGGGGAAGGAAGGCGGGGTAGGGGTCGTCCTCGAAAAGGTTGGAAGGAAGGCGTAAGGGAGGTTTTGTGGGCGAGGGGCTTGGACTTCCAGCAGGCGTGCGTAAGCGTGTTAGATAGGAGTGAATGGAGACGAATGGTATTTGGGACCTGGCGATCTGTTGGAGTGTGAGCATGATAATATTTAGTGAGGGGATTCAGGGAAACTAGTTATTTTTATATAGCCGGACTTGAGTCCTGGAAATGGGAAGTACAATGCCTGCAATTTAAAGGAGGGGTTTGGGATATTGGCAGTTTGGAGGGATATGTTGTGTATCTTTATATGTATATGCTTCTAAACTGTTGTATTCTGAGCACCTCTGCAAGAACAGTGATTATGTGTGAATGAGGTGAGTGTTGAATGATGATGAAAGTGTATTTTCTTTTTGGGGATTTTCTTTCTTTTTGGGTCACCCTGCTTCGGTGGGAGATGGCCGACTTGTTAAAAAAAAAAAATCCTCGGGTTATTTGTGTATTGTTCCAGTCACTGTATTGTGCCTTTTTGTTCTTCATTAATGAGAATACAGTGGACCCCCGCATAACGATCACCTCCGAATGCGACCAATTATGTAAGTGTATTTATGTAAGTGCGTTTGTACGTGTATGTTTGGGGGTCTGAAATGGACTAATCTACTTCACAATATTCCTTACGGGAACAAATTCGGTCAGTACTGGCACCTGAACATACTTCTGGAGTGAAAAAATATCATTAACCGGGGGTCCACTGTATATCAACATTTAAAGAGATTCGGTCTATGAAACTCAGAGGAGATAGGTTATGTGGACAGCATATAGTTGTGTTTACTCTGATAGTGTCTTGCTCATGTGGTGGGTGTAAGCTTAACCTCTGATATTTAGTCAAATATGAGGTTGACTTGTATGTCTCAATTTATAATACAGTTTGATGACATATGAGCTTCCCGAATTTTATGATACATGTATATTTATTGTGAAAAACTAATACATACATGTATTGCTAGAGCAGAAATTAACATATACAGTACAAAAAATCTAATTCTTTACCAGTTCATACTGAACTTACTTAAAAATATATTATTTGAAAAATTCACTACAGTATTTTTGAATAACAGATAGTAATTCTGAACTGAATTAATTATTTGTAATCAATAATTTTGAGATCCTTTGATTTAAGGAAGATGTCAAGCAAGCACCTCATGTTTCAGTATCGTTACGTGGTGTTGCCACACCTCAGAAAACAAATAGTGGAGGGCTGCGCACTGTAACAGGAGGAACCACTGGCAAGGCCAAGTGCCCTGCAACCTTACTCTGGGGTGCAACTGGTGAGCAGGAATGGACTGCTGCTCTCACAACAGGTAACTATTCTGTCAACGGTGATCTCTTAGTTCGTGGTTTAAAGGTAGTGTATTTCTTTTTATAACCCTTTGCAATAAAGTTAAAAAGTGGCATCCTCAGGATCAGAGCCATTCTATTTTGTAATTAAGTCTTTTAGTATACTGTACTGGTTTTTGAGAGTAGAGTACTACCTATTTGAACAATATTGACAAAAATGTTACTATTTTAAAAAGTCTGCACTACTCTTATATATAATTATTTACCTCACTGGTTGTGTCCCACCAAGGAAGGATGACCAGAAAAAAGGAAATATACACCATTATTCATTCACTATTCATCTTGTCAGAAGTGTGCAAATGTCACAATTCAAATAACCCTCTGAACTGTAACATCCCTACCTATCCTTCAGAGAGCTTTTATTATAATTCTCACCTCCAGGACTTAAGTCTGGCTAACTGATTTTCCTGAATTCCTTTATAAATGTTACATATCAAAACCACTTGCTTCCACTCACTTCAGTCTAACACATTCACACATGCCTGCTGGATGCTGAAGCCCCTACTATTTTAAACCTCTTTCGTTCCCTCCCTCCGGCCCTTCCTGGGATGACCCCTTCCTCTCAGTCTCTTCCACCCCTGATTTATATATGCACTTTGCCATCCTACACTTCTCCATCCTTTCTTAAAATTCAAACCATTTTGCAACCCCTCTTCTGCCCTCTGAATAAAATCTTTCATAACCAACACCATCTTCTAAATTCTACTCTCTGAATTCTCTGCATGACATTCACTTTGCACATTGCTCTTAAACATGACACCTACATTACTCCTTGCTGCTACATTTAAAACTCATACCTCACTTCCATATAAAAGGGGTTGCTAATGCTGTATTCTGGTACATTTTCCCTTTTTGCTTCCATAGATAAATTTTTTTCACTACAGATGCTCAACACACTACATGCTTTTTTGTTTCCCATTTGTCTATTCAGTGGTTCACCTCGTCTTTCATAGACTAATCTTTTGACATGTTGATTCTCAGATACTGTATCTAAATACATTTGCTTCCTCCAGACCCCTTCCCTACAGTCTGATACCTAATTTTTTCACTGCCTTAACTTTTGTTACTCTCGTACCTTGCTCTTTTCTGTGCTTCATTCAATTTCCTTCTTTTACACTTCCCCCTTTTCCAACTTCTCTTCAGAATTTCTCTAAAGAACTGTATCATTAGAATGAGCAGTTGTGACACCTCTTTCTGCCTATACTCTGAAGGAGAGGTGGGGATATTGCAGTCAGAGGGTAATCTCATTGTGATATCAACACATTTCTGCAAAGACAGTGATTTAATGAATGATGGTGAGTGTTTTTACTTCTTTGTTGTCAAGAAACAGCTGTTGGGATTTAAAAAAAAAGCATTAATTGAGAATAAAAAGTAAATGTATAATTATGTGACCCAAAAATTAAATACAGCCTCTCCTCACTTAGTGATGTACACATTTACCAATGACCTGGACTTACGATTGGCTCTCTGACCAGTATGTATACCTAAATAATGTATGTTAGAGCTGATTTCCTGTATAATGTTTATTACAATATACAGTACACTACTGTATTAACATTTAAACATATACTAAAAATGTTATAAATGGTGCAAAGATGACATTAAAACAATATCAAAGATTATTATTTTTTTATATTATCACACTGGCCGATTCCCACCAAGGCAGGGTGGCCCGAAAAAGAAAAACTTTCACCATCATTCGCTCCATCACTGTCTTGCCAGAAGGGTGCTTCACACTACAGTTTTTAAACTGCAACATTAACACCCCTCCTTCAGAGTGCAGGCACTGTACTTCCCATCTCCAGGACTCAAGTCCAGCCTGCCGGTTTCCCTGAATCCCTTCATAAATGTTACTTTGCTCACACTCCAACAGCACGTCAAGTATTAAAAACCATTTGTCTCTATTCACTCCTATCAAACACGCTCACGCATGCCTGCTGGAAGTCCAAGCCCCTCGCACACAAAACCTCCTTTAACCCCTCCCTCCAACCCTTCCTAGGCCGACCCTACCCCGCCTTCCTTCCACTACAGACTGATACACTCTTGAAGTCATTCTGTTTCGCTCCATTCTCTCTACATGTCCGAACCACCTCAACAACCCTTCCTCAGCCCTCTGGACAACAGTTTTGGTAATCCCGCACCTCCTCCTAACTTCCAAACTACGAATTCTCTGCATTATATTCACACCACACATTGCCTCAGACATGACATCTCCACTGCCTCCAGCCTTCTCCTCGCTGCAACATTCATCACCCACGCTTCACACCCATATAAGAGCGTTGGTAAAACTATACTCTCATACATTCCCCTCTTTGCCTCCAAGGACAAAGTTCTTTGTCTCCACAGACTCCTAAGTGCACCACTCACTCTTTTTCCCTCATCAATTCTATGATTCACCTCATCTTTCATAGACCCCTCCGCTGACACGTCCACTCCCAAATATCTGAATACGTTCCCTCCTCCATACTCTCTCCCTCCAATCTGATATTCAATCTTTCATCACCTAATCTTTTTGTTATCCTCATAACCTTACTCTTTCCTGTATTCACCTTTAATTTTCTTCTTTTGCACACCCTACCAAATTCATCCACCAATCTCTGCAGCTTCTCTTCAGAATCTCCCAAGAGCACAGTGTCATCAGCAAAGAGCAGCTGTGACAACTCCCACTTTGTGTGTGATTCTTTATCTTTTAACTCCACGCCTCTTGCCAAGACCCTCGCATTTACTTCTCTTACAACCCCATCTATAAATATATTAAACAACCATGGTGACATCACACATCCTTGTCTAAGGCCTACTTTTACTGGGAAAAAATTTCCCTCTTTCCTACATACTCTAACTTGAGCCTCACTATCCTCGTAAAAACTCTTTACTGCTTTCAGTAACCTACCTCCCTACACCATACACTTGCAACATCTGCCACATTGCCCCCTATCCACCCTGTCATACGCCTTTTCCAAATCCATAAATGCCACAAAGACCTCTTTAGCCTTATCTAAATACTGTTCACTTATATGTTTCACTGTAAACACCTGGTCCACACACCCCCTACCTTTCCTAAAGCCTCCTTGTTCATCTGCTATCCTATTCTCCGTCTTACTCTTAATTCTTTCAATTATAACTCTACCATACACTTTACCAGGTACACTCAACAGACTTATCCCCCTATAATTTTTGCACTCTCTTTTATCCCCTTTGCCTTTATACAAAGGAACTATGCATGCTCTCTGCCAATCCCTAGGTACCTTACCCTCTTCCATACATTTATTAAATAATTGCACCAACCACTCCAAAACTATATCCCCACCTGCTTTTAACATTTCTATCTTTATCCCATCAATCCCGGCTGCCTTACCCCCTTTCATTTTACCTACTGCCTCACGAACTTTCCCCACACTCACAACTGGCTCTTCCTCACTCCTACAAGATGTTATTCCTCCTTGCCCTATACACGAAATCACAGCTTCCCTATCTTCATCAACATTTAACAATTCCTCAAAATATTCCCTCCATCTTCCAATACCTCTAACTCTCCATTTAATAACTCTCCTCTCCTATTTTTAACTGACAAATCCATTTGTTCTCTAGGCTTTCTTAACTTGTTAATCTCACTCCAAAACTTTTTCTTATTTTCAACAAATTTGTTGATAACATCTCACCCACTCTCTCATTTGCTCTCTTTTTACATTGCTTCACCACTCTCTTAACCTCTCTCTTTTTCTCCATATACTCTTCCCTCCTTGCATCACTTCTACTTTGTAAAAACTTCTCATATGCTAACTTTTTCTCCCTTACTACTCTCTTTACATCATCATTCCACCAATCACTCCTCTTCCCTCCTGCACCCACTTTCCTGTAACCACAAACTTCTGCTGAACACTCTAACACTACATTTTTAAACCTACCCCATACCTCTTCGACCCCATTGCCTATGCTCTCATTAGCCCATCTATCCTCCAATAGCTGTTTATATCTTACCCTAACTGCCTCCTCTTTTAGTTTATAAACCTTCACCTCTCTCTTCCCTGATGCTTCTATTCTCCTTGTATCCCATCTACCTTTACTCTCAGTGTAGCTACAACTAGAAAGTGATCTGATATATCTGTGGCCCCCTCTATAAACATGTACATCTGAAGTCTACTCAACAGTCTTTTATCTACCAATACATAATCCAACAAACTACTGTCATTTCGCCCTACATCATATCGTGTACTTATTTATCCTCTTTTTCTTAAAATATGTATTACCTATAACTAAACCCCTTTCTATACAAAGTTCAATCAAAGGGCTCCCATTATCATTTACACCTGGCACCCCAAACTTACCTACCACACCCTCTCTAAAAGTTTCTCCTACTTTAGCATTCAGGTCCCCTACCACAATTACTCTCTCACTTGGTTCAAAGGCTCCCATACATTCCATTAAACATCTCCCAAAATCATCTCTCCTCCCTCTGCATTCCCTCTCTTCTCCAGGTGCATACACGCTTATTATGACCCACTTCTCGCATCCAACCTTTACTTTAATCCACATAATTCTTGAATTTACACATTCATATTCTCTTTCTCCTTCCATAACTGATCATTTAACATTACTGCTACCCCTTCCTTTGCTCTAACTCTCTCAGATACTCCAGATTTAATCCCATTTATTTCCCCCCACTGAAATTCTCCTACCCCCTTCAGCTTTGTTTCGCTTAGAAGCCAGGACATCCAACTTTTTTCATTCATAACATCAGCAATCATCTGTTTCTTGTCATCCGCACTACATCCACGCACATTTAAGCATCCCAATTTTATAAAGTTTTTCTTCTTCTCTTTTTTAGTAAATGTATACAGGAGAAGGGGTTACTAGCCCATTGCTCCTGGCATTTTAGTCGCCTCATTACGACACGCATGGCTTACGGAGGAAAGATTCTTTTCCACTTCCCCATGGACAATAGAAGAAATAAAAAAGAACAAGA